TTTCTGCCATCGTCAAGTTTTCCAATAATACCTCGCTTAGGTTTAAGGCATCATTATCATCTTAATGTCGCTTATAAAAGATATTCGCGCGGGGCAAAACATTTATGTGACCGCATCCTTTCCACATAGGACATAAAGGAAAGCCCTTTTAAAAGAAAACGGAATAAAAAAACACGTTCACATCTTTAATACTTGAGGACTCACCGCGCTTATTAAGGTGCTGGTCCTTTCACGTATTTTCCAGTAAAATATCCGATAAACCATAAAGGAATAGTCGCCGGTAAAAAGCGCCGGCTTGTATAAAAATATCTATTAATCTTAACTACAACTTCCAAGGACCTTTCTCTCAGCACAGCTCTCGCCTTGAAACTTCATAATTTAATCAAGCCGGAAGGCTTTTGACGGAGTTCCGCGTTTGCGCTTGAATATTACGAAATTTTACAATTTTCGATATTTTGAACTTTCGGAACATATTTTTACACAACGTTATCTAGTCCCAAAGTAAGCAATGCTTATACTAAGGGTACTAGGGTAATACAACAGGTAATGTTAAGGGTACTAGGTAACTGATAAACATAATTAAACGTACTTTTCTTTTGTAAATACATATTATAGATATATAAACACCCGTTACGTATTATCTGTTAAAGAACGCAAGTAATCTTATCTCTATCCTTTTGAACTGATATATCTTCTTGAAAAATCAATCTTAAAATCCACTCCATCATAAGATTGGATTGTTAAAAAACCTTTAATGAGTCATACTTTGTGTAGTTTTGCCTAGCCATTATTGAGATTGATTTTAGCTGGAAATCGAAACGACGACCCGCATCACCGAAATCAGGGCCACCAAAGTCTATCGGAACAATTTTATTAGCAGCAATATCGCTATCGACTCGTCAGCATGGCTCTACAAATAGACGAACGACCTAAAAATAGCTCTCGAAGACGAATCATGTTCTTCGACCAATCAAGAAAGATGAAAGAAGGTTTAAAATGGATGATTCTTCTTCCGGACATTCTACCATCTAGCATTAAGGTCGATAATGGTTAAATACAGCAAAGTAGACACTGAAAATATTTTGCATAGTACTAAAACAAGTTGTTATTACATCACATTCAGATACTCGAATAAGACCAGTAATCTGATAACACTTTGAGGGTAGGATTGCCTTTGTCTGCGCTAAATATCACCTTTAGCTTGACGAGCCGTGAAATCTGACGAGTATTACGACGTAAATATGGTAGTTGCTCGTTTCGTACGACGCAAATTCCCACTGAAATAAACATAGAAACTCTCGCTTTTAGCCTCCGGTCCCGTGAGACTTGGTTGCCACAACACTTGTTCTCATTGATATCTCGAAGGCACAATAAAACAAAATCGTTCTGAGAACATCATCACCATAATTTCAGCCTATTCTATTCCACTGTTGAACGTAGGCCACCCCCACAGACTGCCGAAGCACGCCTCTGAGCTGCCTGCATCCAACGACACATGCTCTACATGCGTAAAATGTCCTTACAACATAGGATAAGGTTAGGATAAGGGCAATGTTTTTAACCAAAAAAAAACATGCTCCATCTAGGGGAGGTCGTCCTACACTTCGATGGCCATTACAAGGCTACTGGAGAACCATTGCTCACTGAGAATATCGACGTGATCCTAACCACTGTTTCACATTATAATATATGCGATTAACGGAAACTTTAAAGGATGAATTGGCAAAATGGCTTATAGATTGTGGTAGGGCCTCGCACCAGCTGCTCCTCGCGGCTGTTGCACGAATGGGCAGGCTCGTCCGTGGAAGTACCACGGGCACACAGAAGGCTGACGTGAAGTGGAAGTATTGTAGTTTACGTTTCGTCTGGTGAGTTAGGTAACCGGGGCTCTTTTTAAGGGTTCCATACCCAAAGGGTAAATCGGGACCCTGTTACTAAGACCCCGCGGTCTGTCTGTCTGTCCGTCTGTCCGTCTGTCACCTCTGTATGTTCATGAACCGAGATAATTAGACGGTTGAAATTTTTATATGATTTATTTCGCGAATTCGACTCGCACTTGGCCCTTTTTTTAAAGAATGGCAACGCATCTGAAAACTATCGGCCAAAGATAGTTTAGTTTTTGTTTCATTAGGTTGGCTTGACTGTTGCTAAACATTAAAGCTCAGTACTTTCTAAGCCTTCGATTTGTCTGTTGGGCATTTATAAATCGTCTTGAAACGCGTTCGACAGCCCTAGTTCACCCCTCGGCCGCCAAATCTCTGGGGCGAGCACGTCAGTCAAAATATCCCTTAATGGGGCGCCGGGGTTCCGCTTAGGATATTAGATAAATACACCCCCCGCGCCGACGCTAATGCCGCCGACCCTCCGGTAATCAGTTTCTGGAATATTCGCTGACGATGATGGGGATTGCTTTGATGCCGCCACCGGATCGTTTTCGCTCGCGAAATATCACGTGTGATTGTTCTTTATTGCGCACCAAAATAAAACAAACAAGAGCCAGAAACTTAATGTAGAAGATGGGAGATAATGGGCGGCCTTATTACTTAAGGAAATTTCTTCCAGGCAACCTTTGTAGTTTCGTAGGTGCAAAATTTTTAATCAGTGTGGTAGGAGGGTACCATAAACTTCTTTAGCATTTGGTTTATTTTGATGGCTTAGAGCTCACGACTTGAGGTATGGGCTAGGATTCAATGACCGTGTAGTGTCCAAAGATGACATGCAAAAACTTCCTGCCCCTCCCCCCCACGATAACACCAAAAGCTAAAAAGACAAGTAATTATTTTGAAAACATACGACCGTTTACAACAGTTCGGTTAAATTTTTTTTTATGCGAGAAGGTGGCAAACGAGCTGGCGATTAACCTAATGTTAAGTGATTAACGTTGCGCGTTGACATTTACAAAACTCATACACTGCAGACGCGTTGCAACATTTTAATACGAGTAATGTCAGTCCCGGTTGTGGCGGGACGCGAAAGTTTAATACCTCCACTTCACGCCGGTCTTCTGTGAGACCGTGGTACACTCTCGGACGAGTTTGACAATACGTGCAAAAGCTTACGGCCTTACCACCAGTGGCGGATTTCCCCTAAGGCCCAATAGGCCCGGGCCTAGGGCGGCCACATATTAGGGGCGGCCAATCGTGAACAAAAAATCACTGATGATAACAAGATACATGATGGGCTCTGAGGAAGGGGCGGCTGGAACTTACTACATGGGCTGGGGCCTAGGGCGGCCAAGACTACAAATCACTGCTTACTACTTCAATGAAATAAATGAATATCGCGAATCTGTTTTGTATAGATTCCTGTTTCCACTAGAGAACTAAATAACGTCCCTACTTCCTTACTAATATTATAAAGGTGAAAGTTGGTATGTATGGACGAAAGTTTGTTACTCTTTCACGCAAATACTACTGAATGGATTTTAATGAAACTTTACAATAATATAGCTTCAGAATAAGACATAGGCTATAATTTAGAGCCGTGATAGCTCAGTGTCCGGGCGCTCGCCTTTAATTCAATATACTCGAGCAACCTGAGTTCGATCCCCGGTGCCGGCACCAATGAAGTTTTTAACTTTAAGTGCTGACTTATCACGTGCTCCGCGGTGAAGAAAAACATCGTGAGGAAACCTGGCATATTTTCGAAAGTAATAACAAAAAAAATATTTTTCGAAGATAATATGTGTATGTGTAAGTCCGGCTGTGGACTATGCCCTGATACCCTCTGTATAGAGGAGGCCTTTGCCCAGCAGTGGGACATGTATAGGCTGTTACTTTACTTTAATTTTATAATTTATATATACATACTTTATCCGTATATCCGTCTTTCTGTCTGAATGTTACGCCTAGTATAGTTATAAAAAAGATACTCTTTGACAAAACAAACATATATATTGTATGTCGTATAAATATTATAAAGGAACATATTGTTTATTATAGAAACGCTTTACAGCGTTCATGATATTTCTTACGTCACAAAGTTTCGGATGCTCCACTTTCTATCTTCTATGCGCATAGTCCTTCGTTAAACATGGCGTTGTGCCGGCAGAAAAGTAAATATACATACGAGTAGATATTACATTTCACGATCGCGATCTGTAGAACTAGTTCTCTTCGCATACCGTAGTCTGCACTGCGATTGTGACTTAAATTGTTTCCAGTTACATAAGTTGTAACTGGAAACAATTTACGTCTTTCTAGTTAAGAATTAACTGTATTTCATATTCCCTTATATTTTATTAAGGCAGATACCTGCCTATATTATAGTAAATAATCATAAGTATATATACACAGTAATTATAGGAATTAATTAAAGTAAGTTACACTCACCTAATGAATTAAAAATGCTCCGTATAATGGTCTGTATCACAGCTTAACATTTAAAACGTTTATAAATTCTAAGAACTTTTTACTAAGAATTTATATTCTTATTGAAAAGTACTTAGTGTGCTGATCTTTTCTCATACAAATTATAGAAAAAAAATTGTATTATGACAGCTATAAAACTTTTACATTAGCTTAGTGTACTTGATCTTTTCTAATATTTCTTTAACGGTGGTAGGGCCACGCAGCAGCCACGACTGTTGCACGAATGGGCAGGCCTATGACAAATACTTTCGCGTTTCGTCTGGTGAGTGAGGTGGCCGGAGCCCAATTTTCAAAAGGTTTTCAACGCATCTGTAACTATCGGGTGTACCAGCAGATGTCCATGGGTTGCGATATTCACTAAAATCAGGTGAACCGTCTGCTCGTTTCACATAAAAAAAAAATAGAAATTATAGAAAAGAAAATTGTATTATGAAAGCCAAGAAACTTTTACATTAGTTTGTAATTAAACAATAAACAATCAAAAAAGCAAAGTAAGGGTTTTACTCAAGCGTATATTTGAATTGTTTTTGAACTGACCTGATGTCAAACACAAAATAGTGTTAAGTTTATATACGTACTTGCCCTCAACAAACATCTGTTCTTGGATTGACGCTGTATTCTTGCCCACAGACTCAGCGGTGTCTCGGCATCCGGAGCCGTACTATGGCCGTCTGATCGGGCGGCTGACTCAGTACGCCCACGGCATCAGGGGCACCGTGTACGCAGTGGACGAGAGCACGATATTCGTGCGCGGCTTCGCTTACGACGGCACCGGACCCGACGCCTACTTCTGGGTGGGGGACACGCCCCAGCCCTCGCCAGAGGGCACCCTAGTGCCCTACCCCGAGGACTACTCTAGCAGGTGACAAAAGAAAACCTTACGTGCAGAGATTAGCACTATACAAAACTTTAATTTCTAAAAAGCAATGGCGAAGTCTCTCGTACGAATTATCGTTGTAAAACGATATTCGAAATTGTTTGTATGCTGGAAAGGATACAACAAGGGATGCGCCAAGCATTCCTGCAGCAGTTTGATTCAAATGCTAAAAACAATGTAGACAAAAGACGTTAAGTTTTTTGTCGGTGTGGCAATTAGCCGTTTAACTCAGTGGCTAAAGCTTCAGGCCGCGAATGCCGATGATGTGAGTTCGAATCCCACAGCGGCGATAAGCTTTTCGTACTTTTTCTACAAATTTTAAATGAAAACCTACCAAAAATACTAATACTTTGGTAGAAGTAGGTAAACAAGGATTGATACATCTGATCTTAAGCGATCACCGCCGCCCTTTGGCATCCACTCCCATTTCAACCATTCATTTTTTATGTGAGGAAAGTTTAATTTGCTTGGGGTCTTTTTAACTGAAGTATTTTACTAGGAGTCGGTTTCGATTTAAAATTTCTTTTTTAAAAAGGAGATGGTAAACGTAAAGGACCATAATTATAGTGAATTACACTGACGTATCTAATACCATTCTTTGTTTTTATTTTCGACGGTTCCACTTCTCGAAATAACAGTACCTACTTCTAGAAGGAAGCTAATTTCATTGTCGTGGGACTACTAAGGTTAGTTATAAAGGTTCATTAGTGAGACCACTTGAAAATGAAACGAAATCACTAATAGTAAACGTTAATTGAAGTTTCCGAGTGCGATCAAAAGGCATGTATCTGCATATAATAATAATTAGTGATAATTAATTTTTTTTTTAAAACGGAAATGTTAATTACGTTGCCTAAAACGGTGACTCATTTGTGTTCCATAATCAAATTGTAAGTAGGGCTAAATTAAACATAATTGAAGAAGCCGTTGTTCTTTGTTATTTGAGGAGGGCTTTTAAGAAAAAACGGGGGCGGGAAAACGATTCGGGACGTTGGACAAACGCGTTTATTAAAATCAGCCCAATTTACTGCGCCTTGGGAGGTGTGAATGGACAATTAAATAATTTTTTTCCGTTATAGCTATGTATCTCATGTCGCTATTAGACTATTCGTTCCCGCCATCCACTTTGTGTGCGTGAATCAATCTCCAGAGTATTCCGAGACAAATACGATTTTGGTCTTCAAGAGAGCCTACCTCTAATGATCCGGAGGCACCTGCCTTCATCGACTTCGAAATAGTTATGTAGCGATCAGCATAGAGAACCCTGCACTTGAATCAGTATTATATACCATGAACGGCCAAAATTTAAATGTAAACCACTATTGACATGGATGGCTGAACAAGTATGACCATTTTTCGAGTTTTGTGTTTCTGCCTGTCTGTAAGTTCGTCTCGCATAGGCTCCGTAACAACTATAAGTTTCGAAACGAGAATTGCTATACAAAATGAATATATGACATATTTGAGTTTTAAAGGACAAAAGATAGGTTAAAATAATCATTCATTGAGAACTAAACGCTCTTGGATTTAAATACTTTAGTGCAGACGCATTATCTTTTATTTGCAGACGTATGCAAATCGATGTCTGCAATAGTATATGAAAATTACCCATTTCGGGGAAAGTTATTTTAGCTGTTAAATCGGATAACGTATAAAATATGACTACGCATATCGATTCAAGTGAAGGATTCTATATGATCACTATATTACTATCTAAGTTAACTATAGTAGGGTCACGCAAAAGTCTTCGCCGTTGCACGAATGGGAAGGTCCGTCCGGGTAAATAAAACGACCTCGCAGAAGACCGGCGTGAAGTGGTAGTGTTACACTGCCTTTCGTCTGGTGAGGTAGCTAAGGCTCACTATTTTAAAACAACTCATCCGCAACCCTAGGGGTGTTGCAAATGTTTCTTTTTTTCTCCTTATTTTAAGAGTTTATTCGCCAAGCTAGATATGCCACTCTGTAAGGTAAAATCAACAATATAAGCAAAAGTAACAATATATATTATTGTTACTTTTGCTATGGTTAGTAACATAATGATTAAACTCTCTTGTTCAGAGCAAATTTAACCGTATTTATAACATTCAATATTTCATCGCTCAGAGATATCGATAAATTATTATTACGTTTACATCACATCAATATATATGATAGACATATTCAAATTCATTACGCAGAGCAAAACGGTGAGGCAGCTTTTTTTTTCATGAGAAAAGCGAAATTAATTGCATATTCATGTGCAGCATCATATGAACCGCCAGCCCATTTGCCGCATATTCACATAAAACAACAAAACGAGTCCTGTCCTGGTTGTTGCCGTTTTTATACTTGTTCAATTGTTGCTCATCCCCGGTCGACCGTTTCCAGGGACCCGCCAGTGCTGTCTGCCCACACCAACTCCGACATCCTGCTGCGTTTGCCAGCCGGCAAGAGACTGCGCGACATCAAATGGATCAGCGTCTGGTGTCGCCGATTCACAGTAAGCTCACGTTTACTTGGGGACTGTGTTGCCACGCAGCAGCCTCGGCTGTTGCACGGATGGGCAGGCTCATCCGGGTACGTACCACCACCTCACAGAAGACCGGCGTGAAGTGGAAATATAATACTTTCGCGTTTCGTCTGGTGGGTGAGGTAGCCGGAGCCCAATTATCAAAAGGTTGTCAACGCATCTGCAACCCTCGGGTGTAGCAGATGCCCACGGGCGGCGGTATTTAATTAGCATCAGGTGAACCGTCTGCTCGCTGGGCAACTTTCACATAAAAAAAGACTTCAATTCCTATTCACCTTACATTTCCCCGATTTCCTGCTATTTTCCCCCGACTTATATAACCAATAACCTATTCGATATTGCCCTTTCACCACTTACAAGCTCAATACACTACGAAGCTTTTAAGTTTTTCTGAATTATCCCCAGAGTATTTTCACAAGTCTGAGATATAACTGTGGTAGACTCCCAGTATTCACAGTTGCACCAAGACCTGGCAGAAGACCGGCGTGATGTGGAAGTTTGTACTTCTGCGTTTCGTGTATTGCCATAACCTAATAGAGGTGTATTTTTTAAAGCTTTTTATAGTGCTAATCTCTGCACTTAAGATTGAACATTAAAACATGTAGAAAAAGTGCGAAAAGACGAGTTCTCTGTTTTAATTAATTATTCGAACGAAGTCCGAGTCGAATTGTAATTTAACTCGTTCTAATTATCGTTGTAAAACGATATTCTAAATTGTTTGTATAATAATAATAATAATAAAATATCTTTATTCACATAGACGCTTGCGCGTTCTTATGAAACGTCAAAATTTTACAAGAAATTAACACGTTCGTAAGTTACCACCGGTTCGGAAAGCAGTTTCTGTTGAGAAGAAACGGTCAAGAAACTCAACAGTTGCTCTTTTTAAAAAAAATCAGTTTACAATATAATAGTACATGTACAATAGTCTTGTTTTAGCCTACGTGAGTATCAACAGTATTAACCCCACACATTGGCGTCGTCAAGATATTCAGCAATAGAATAATAGGCTTTAGCCATAAGTTTACTTTTAATTTTTCGTTTAAATTCATCAAGTGGCAGACTTAATATCGACTGTGGGATTTTATTATACATGCGCACACCTTGCCCCATGAACGACCTGTTTACTTTTTGTAAACGAAACAATGGCGTAGTTAGTTTGTCCTTATTTCTATTTAGTTTATGTCTGTCACTATTCTTTAGATAACTATTAATATTATTTTTAACATACAAAATATTACAATAAATATATTGAGACGCAACAGTGAGTATATTAATCTCTTTTAAAAGGTCTCTGAGTGTATTCCGGGCTCCGATGTTATAGATTGCTCGGACAGCTCTTTTTTGAAGAATAAATATAGAATTTATATCAGATGCACTACCCCACAACAAAATGCCGTAAGACAAGATGCTGTGGCAATAACTGAAATAAACAAGTCTGGCAGTGTCGATGTCTGATAGCTGCCTAACCTTCATAACTGCAAAAACAGCGGAGCTTAACCTGTTCGCAAGAGATGATAGATGGGGACTCCATTGGAGCTTTGAATCCACTGTAATTCCCAAGAATACAGCGGACTCAACAGGATTAAGGGTTACGCTATTTAATGTTAAGCTAAAACTTCGCCTTCTTACGCTGGGAAGGGTAAAAAGAAGGCATTTAGTTTTTTTAGCATTTAACACCATATTATTAACGGTAAACCAGTGGAGGATACGCGAAAGTGCACTATTCACGTCGTCATAATCCGACACGTTTCGGTCAACCTTAAAAATGAGCGATGTCACATAACTCACTGGCATAAAAGGGGAGATCATTTATATACACTAAGAATAATAATGGACCCAAGATTGATCCTTGTGGGACACCCATTTTCATGGGGGACCCTGTGGAATTTACATCATTTATAGATACTTTTTGAATTCTATTATTAAGGTAAGAGGCAATGAGATTGAGGGCGATGTCACGAATGCCATAATAATCTAACTTTTGAAGGAGGGTTTCGTGGTCTACACAGTCGAAAGCCTTTGAAAGGTCGCAAAAGACACCTATTGCATCTTGTGACCTTTCCCAGGCGTTATAAATATGCTTGACAAGTGCGACACCCGCATCCGTTGTCGATCTGCCTTTAGTGAATCCATATTGCTCATTGTGGAAAATTTTGTTCATATTAAAATGTACTAAGAGTAGATTTAAAATTAGTTTTTCAAAAATTTTACTCAGAGATGGCAATATGGAGATAGGTCTGTAATTTCCTGGATCATTTTTATCCCCACTTTTGAAAACGGGGATTATCTTACTGAATTTCATAAGATCTGGAAATATTCCAGAATCTATACATTTGTTAAAAATATTTGCCAAATATGGTGCAATATACGGCGTATGCTGGAAAGGATATAACAATAGATGCCCCAAGCATTGCTTCAAATGCTAAATAACAATGTAGAAAGAAATGTATTTGTTGTTTTTATTCCAAATTATATTAAATATTTCTACCTTAATCGTAATCACAATAGCTAAAGTTGACTACATATCGCCCTGTACTTTACTAAACGCATGAGCCCCAAAAGCGAAAACTTTGGCTCGATTACAGTAGTGAAAGGGCAACCTATATGACCTTGCCACTTATTAGATCAAGGAATCTTTTAAGTTTCTCTGCATTTTCCTCAGAATATTCTCACGAGTCAGAGAGACAGTTCAAACAAAACTTGGTGATTCAAACGTAAAAATAACAGTTCTTACGTGTTTTTACGTGACAAAGTGGCAAACGAGCTGACGGTTCACCTGATGTTAAATGACAACCGCCGCCCATGGACATTCGCAACACCCGTAGAGTTCCAGAAGCGTTGCCACCTTTAAATAAAATGGGCCCCGGCTCACTCACCAGACGAAACGCAGAAGTGTAACACTTTTAACAACTTTCAGTTATATAAGGGTTATAATAGTTAATAATATTTTTTAATTACTCAACCTGATGTATAAAGTTCACTGTCGGAGTATAAGACTGCTACCCACGTATTTCATCATAATTCCGTCAAGTTGGACGAACTCCCACCTCATTACTAGGCCACTCTCATCCGGCTGTTTCACGGATACATCTTATTACAATAGAGGGCAAATTCAATTTGCCGTTTCCGGGATCGATAGAACAGTTGTTCTGCGAATTATCACATCAAATGTGATAAAATTTCACTGGGAGCCTTTTTCAACTTTATTAGTCGTTAGTGATACACATGATGTGAGTGTTGCCACATAAAGGGGACATCAAAAGTATCTCATCCGGACCTCACAAATCGTTTGATCTGTAGAGTATTGGCAAATTAATTTGCTCTCACTTCTGTTTGTAAAGCAATCACTTAATGGACTCTGTAGAACTGTAAGTTTCTTTGTTTTCCAGTATACTTTTGTATAGCTACGCTTCTTACTTGCCTCGTTACTCTTTTAAAATCCTACCCTGTCCATGTAACGATCTTATTTATCAGTTTTATTTACAAATTTATATTATTTACGAAAAGCCTAAATATAACGTGTACCTCTGTTTTACGAAATAGAAATGAATTCACAACAGTTATACAAACCGAAGTTAAATAGCGTATTCTTGTGTGATGCCTATGCTCCTGCAAAACTTTACGAAAAACTTTTCGTAAAGTTTTTCGTTTTTCCGCTAGCATCGTAAACTTTGGTACCTTTTAAGCTTTATACTATATACGTACGTACGTCTTATGTAGATCAGCTATAACTTAGTAAAGAATTTGAAAGGAGTAAGAACTTGTCTCGGAGTTCACTTTATATTTATCCACCCATCTGATAATTCAAATTCAACTGTGTGAATAATGTCTATATTCATATCATTAATATATATGATTAATATTATAATAACACACAAACGTTCTTTTACTACTTTTTTAAATTTAGCTATTGATGCATTTTAAACGATTTTGTTGTAGAAAAGTATACATTATCCCATAAAAAATTTACTTATTCTACGCAGTCTACTTCAGGGTATTTGTTCCTAGTATTTATATCATGAACATTATTATGTCTTGAAAATTTATCATTATATTGACATACATAACATTTTCAAAAATGTATTGAGAAGAAACAGTACCTTTATCTCTTTGAACAAGTTTCTTAACGATTCTTTGGGGCCCAGATTATTAACTGCACGAGGTATATATACAATTTGCACTGTGGTAGGACTACCTAGCAGCTTCGGCTGTTGCAAGAATGGGCACGCTCATCCGGGGAAGTGCCAGGGCTTCGAAGAAGACCGGCGTGAAGTGGAAGTATTAGACTATCGCTTTTCGTCTAATGAGTGAGGTAAACGGGGAACAGCTTTTTAAAGGTTAGCAATATGTCTGCAATCCCTCAGGTATTGTAGATGTCTATTGGCGGCGGTGTTCACTTAACATCAGGTGAACCGCCTGTTCGCTTGACAACTTGCAACTTTCACATAAGAAAATACAGTCACACTAGCAAATACTCTGCAGGTTAACCTTTGAACTGAAACTCCTAGTTTTAATCATAAACAGTGCACGAAAAGACCTTGGGTACTCTTGTTTTGTTTGCAAAGCATTCTTTGTAATATGCTCCATCAAATATCGTAAGGTTTGGGTAAAATGCTCGAAGTCAGCATAGTTCACAGTTTAAAGGTGTCGTATATTGGTCCGATAACGAACTCTTAGGTACTGTCCATTCAAATGGTCATTGACCTCGGAAGACAACCCAATCAGTTAAATAACAACGAACGTACATTTCCATACAATCACGATTTTATCTATAGAAATGGTTTAACAATAATTCCTGTTACCAAATAACGTTAACGACTCGTATATAAATGGCACGATTTTGTCAATTATCTTTACATATACAGCGCGTCTTTACCATCGCGACAATAAATGAACACACATATAGAGGATAACTTTTTAAAATTGTATAAAGATTTACATTCCTTAAACATTACAATTTGATAACTCGTTAAATATTGAATTTAACGAGTTATCAAATTTTCCAAAACAAAGACTTTTAGAACACCCTTACGTATAAAACTTTAATGTAAAGTTCATTTGTAAAGGTCACAAAGCATATGAATGGGTTGAATGAATTTAAAAGAGACAACACATACTGTTAGAAGGAGAGGCTTGTAATGCGGCACTGTGGCAACGAATGAAAAAGTCTCTGAATGTATGAATCAGTCAGATGTAGTTGTATAGGATGTTAGAAATTTTGTTTCTTTTTTACTTAATTAGTTTGTTTGAAAAATATTTATTTTTAATTATGGATTTTTTTAACGTTAATATTTTTTTTATGATTATTGGCAAGTAGCTTTAGACGTGTGTTCATTTATTGTCGCGGTGGTAAAGACACGCTGTATAGTTCTACTTTACTCACGCAGTGTATGTCACTGAACTCCTAAACGGCTGGACCGATTTTAGTGAAATGTTTTGTGTGTCTTTAGGCCGATTCGAGAATGGTTTAGATTCACTATTTTTTTTTTTTATCTCAGATTTAAGTCGTGTACAGGACAACGTCCGCCCGGTCCACTAGTATACTTTCTAAAAGCAAATGATATCTTGAAGTCAAATCGATCTTAAATTTTACGCACCAACATTCATAAAAGGATAATACGAGATATGCCCGTACAGAGTGCAGCTAGACAGCCGACGAAATGTTGCGAAATTAATTTCGCGAAACGCTAAATTCCGTTTTGGCTCTGCACAGTGGCCAGTGAACTCAATTTCCGAGCTAGAACTACACGCCGACGCATCGTGTTGCGCACACTTTCGGCTGTGTCCTGGACAGTTGCTTTTGATTTGAGGTGCCTTTGAATTTGTTAATAACTGTTCGCCCAAAAACCGCCTACCTGTTACCTACCTATAATAATTAAAAAATTTTAACTATGTAATATTTAATATTTTATATTTTTTTTATTATCTAAAATTACATATAACCTAATAAACCTAGGCGACGCGGCAAATTTTAACAACGCTAGCTAAATTTCCTCGCTGAATAGTTATGCTTAATCTTTGAGTGAGAAAAGACCCTCTCTCAGACAGCTCTCTTATCACCAGCCGCGGAGTTAAGCCTAGGACCTATAATTGTGACCATGTTGAGTGTGATTTAAAATGGGACTAAGCAATTTTGATTAGTTTTATAAGTCTCCTTTTGTTTCGAACATACTTGAGTACTTAAGATGTATTAATTGAATAAAGTTCACACAAAGTTCAGCATAGATAACATCGTCAAAGTGTCAAATTTAATTTATACCCATAGTCATATATTTAATAAATAAAATTGTTATTAAGCTTCTTACACAAACAATACATGTTTATAATTCTTTACGATTACAAAAGAAAGTACTGAAGTCATTCCTATAAGTACACTTTTTCTTTTAAATTAGTTTTTATTATTAAGATAGTTTAATTTCTTTTTTGTTCTTGGTTCAATTTTATATCTGGCACAAGCTTATTACTATAAAGGTACTTACTATGTACAAGATTATTGTTGCAAATGTATAGTTATCATACTTGTCGTAGGTGTACATATTAGGGCTCCGGATATACTTAGGGAAGTCCTAAAAATCGATTTTAAAAAATACAGAGCGAGATTATTGAAGACGGTTTTGTTTTTCGTTAATAAATGGACTTGTTAATTATTGTATAAATATATTGTTAGGTCCATAATAAAATAAAATGAAATAAGGAAGCACGTACATAACACAATTAGAGACGGCAAACAAGGAGCTGGCCGTTTATAAAATTAATTAATCCAGAAGATCTATAACGTGTATGGCTAACCTATAGTACTGTATAATAATATCCTTAGATAGGATAGTAGACATAGAAACTGCAGTATAGCGTAGCGCGAATTATTCAATTATTAACGAATTGCCAATTACACGGTCACTCGAAACGGGGAAATTTAACTGAAAAGTCTGCTTGGCTTAAATAGCTCCGTTTTCGTGTTTATTAACTAGAGTTTCCGCGAAACGCTCGCGAAATTTAAAAACATACGACGTGCAAAGGCTTTTTAGGATGCAGTCGCTTTGAATTCGATTATTTATTCAAAGGTTGATCATATTCTATTGGTTATTCTTTATTGTTTGCATTTTTGCGTATGCAATGCGAATTGTAATTTTTGGATCCATTAAGGGAACTAAAATCGTAAATGCATAGTCAAAAACCATACATTTTATTTTATATTAATTAATCATAATCGAAATATATTTATTCACATAGACGCTTGCGCGTTCTTATGAAACGTCAAAATTTTACATAAAAATTAATATTTTCGTAAGTTACCACACACATATTTCGCATACAGTTAATAAAAATATGAGGAATATTTAATTTTGACGCTTCATGAAACAATATACTTGACAGCGACTCTCATCTATTAAATGTTATCGATCGGATGGCATTCGCATACAGTTAATAAAAATATGAGGAATATTTAATTTTGACGCTTCATGAAACAATATACTTGACAGCGACTCTCATCTATTAAATGTTATCGATCGGATGGCACGCGTTGTGTGCATAGCAACGGTTTCGCGCCAAATTGTGACGTTTACCCGCCAAAATAAGTGGATTCATGTACTTTAAAAATAAACGAACATTGTGGTTTCTGTTTCTTAATTCTAATACTGTGTTAAGATTGAAGTAGAGATAATTAATACATAAAATGTCACCTTCATAGTTGATCCGTTATTTTTTGAACAGTCTCATACGATTTTAAAATTTTTTATATTAACTGTACATATATCTATAAATTCATTTTAGACAAAGTATAATGTTTACAAAGATTTCTCATAATAAATAGTCACTCATAATAAAAGTAATTAGGGGATCGAACCCACATCCTCTGGCGGAAGAGGCAGGTTCACTACCAAATAGTCTTCATAACATCGAAACTTATTTGACGACCCTATTTGCCTATCTACTAACTTAACACTTGGCCTATGCCCCATTTTAAGACGCCTCGCCCAGTGGAAACTTAAACGTACTTTTCTTTTGTAAATAAATACATATTATAAATATATAAACACCCAGACGCTAGAAAAACACTATGATCATCAAAAAATATTTTTCCAGTGGTGGAGATCGAACCCACTTCGCAATGGTTATACTCCTTAGCCAGAAGTTCCGTTTTAATTTTGTGTTTAAATTGATCAAGTTCCGTTTAAATTGGCAAACTTAATATCGACCGTGGAATTTTATTATACACGCGCACACTTTGCCCGTGATAGCTCAGTGTCCGGGCGCTCGCCTTTAATTCAATATACTCGAGCAACCTGAGTTCGATCCCCGGTGCCGGCACCAATGAAGTTTTTAACTTACTTTTGTGCTGACTTATCACGTGCTCCCCGGTGAAGGAAAACATCTTGATGAAACCTGCATATTTGCGAAAAAATTACAAAAAAAATTTTCGAAGATATGTGAAGTCCGCCAATCCACAGTGGGGTCGCGTGGTGGACTATGCCCTGATACCCTCTGTATAGAGGAGGCCATCGCCCAGCAGTGGGACATGTATAGGCTGTTACTTTACTTTTTTTTACACTTTGCCCCATAAACGACGTATTTACTTTTTGTAGGCGTAGTTAATTTGTCTTTATTTCTAGTATTTAATTTATGTCTGTCATTATTCTATCTTGTTTGTCCTGGGTTGCAGGTGAACTTCGGCGACGTGTTCGTCGGTCCAGGCCTGGAGCCGCCCAGGGCTAGAGTGCTGCCGGAGTTCAAGCGGCTGGCGCACGGCCTCCGCTCCGGGAACATCAGCGTGCTGGACGCGAAGACCTTCTACATACCGAACCTGCATTACGACGGCGCCGGCCCAGACGCCTACTTCTGGGTCGGCAACGGCACGGAGCCCAATCCATTTGGGACCAAGGTAAACGAACTACTAGAATACTTCTAGTATACTAATACTAAACTATAACGTTGCACGAATGGGTACGTCCGTGGTAGGACCACGACCTTAAAGAAAGCCGGCCTCAAATTAACACTTGTAACTACTTCTTAGTTTCGTCTAGTGAATGAGACCTCTTTATTAAAATCTGGCAACCCCTGCAAGCCTAAGGGTGTTGCAAATTTCCATAGGCAGCGGTTATGTCTTAACACTAGGTTAAATGCCAGCTCGTTTCTTTTGTTAAGCTGAAGTCATAACTTCTTACGTGTGTCTTCATAATTGTAATGATTCATTTTATTTCGTATTGATAACTGCACGACTCACAACTCATACTCCAGTTTCTCTACGTAAAGTCGTTCTTATACTCTAAGCTAATTGTTAAATCCGTAATTTAGTACCTACGCATGTTATTTGCGCACGTTTGGATTTTGGAAATATTTTAATTCCATACTTAATTTGTAATGGTGTATAATTTGAGTGACACCAACTGTGTCGGTGCAATAAACAAACCATAAATTTTTCTTCATTTGCATTCTTCGTCAGTTCATAGCGTTAAAACTCCCGTGTCCTAAACCGATTCGAACCGGCGTCCGGCAGGTGCCCAACGAGATGGGCTCCCTGAACCCATTGCGCGGCTACCAAGGCGAGGACATCGAGATCCAGCTGCCGGGCAGGCTGACCGCGTACGACATCGACTGGCTCGCCGTCTGGTGCGTGGAGTACCGCCACAACTTCGGCCACGTGTTCCTGCCCAAGGACCTGGACGTCCCGCCGGCCCTGGGCCAGACCAAGATCACGGTAAGATCACGGTGGGAACGGAGGCTCGCTTCGGAATGATCGATGTCCGACGCCGATGACTTCGAATCCGGCTCGAAGGACCAACTTTGATGAAGTAGTCGGAGTTTTTCTTTAATAGTAAAACAAATTACTTTTCTATATATTCCTTCCTATATATAATCATGGTCAGTGTTAACAAAAGTTCGTTTTGGAATGATCGATTTTAACCTCTTGTTAAATCAAAGTCCGCCTCGAAGGACCAACTTTCACGAAGTCATCGGAACTGTTATTGAATAACAAAATTAAAAGAACTATAGTTTCTAGGCTAATTCACTGGATATGGTACACTTGAATATAGTAAATACCCCGAATCAGTAATAACAATACTTTCCGACTGTTACTTCAAATGTGTAGTTTATATGATTTTATTGAATATATTAATGAATAGCGAAAATACATAACATAATTATATTTTATTCAATGAATAAAGTAAGGTTGTTTAAAATTAATATTAATCTGTTTTGCCGCCAATTTTTGACAGCCCGCGGGGAAATCTAATAAATTTCTCTTTTTACAGCACTGCTTTCTAACCTTTTCTCTTCATTACAAAGCTGCCTACTGGAAACATGCACATTTTTGATCATAATAATGTTAGATTTTATATAAAATATGTCGTTGCACCGTAATGGTCTTTTACGTTACCTACTGCACTGTACTTTTCAATAGAAATATATTTCTATAGAAATATTCTTGCATGTAGTACAATATTGTTTGGTAAACGCATATACATGTGCAAACATGACTCGACTTTGGGAAGACAAAAAGATCGAAACTTTCATGTTCCCAATTCATTTCCTTAAGCTTATATTTATTGTGCGACGGTACTATTCACTAATCAACTTCCATGTATTTAATCATTTGTTCATCAAAATACTGCACAACTTAAATTGAAACTATATTTACGAACTTACCGTCAAATCCATCCCGCAGCCATAGTTATAAAGTATTCGCAAGGTAATACGCACTAAACGGGGACAGATTTGAACTGTCATTCGGTTGTGTGGGGTATGATGGAGCTAAAAGAAGATGTAATAAAAAAAATGTTACCGTTCAAATTTCGTTCAAAACTCTTATGGACTTTTTGATTTCCTAAATACGTCTCTCGTTGTATTCGAGAAGCTTCTATAACTTCACCCTTCTAAGTTGAATGAATTAATATTCGTTAATGCATACCAAAAACAAAATGAACAAAAATAAAATAAATAAATTTACCTAGGTGTGTCTTCCCAATTTCAACGCCAACTAATGTAACCACTAATTTTGTTTTTATAACATTGTCCTTATTACGCTCGCCTTGGATCACTAATATTACTTTGCAGCCGGCTTGGTGGTATAATCCCGTGAGTAATTCTGATTTCTTTTTATTAATTTTATTTAATGAAAAACATTTACATTGTATAATAACCTGTAATGCAATTCCCTCACTAGCCCCATATTGGGCGGCTGACAACCCCAATGCATATTTATTTTGTATGGAAGTGGTGAAGTAAGTACCAACCACCCATTAAAATCTAGTAGATCTATTGTAGTCTTCGCTTCGAAAACATTACCCCCTCACTGTAGGATGTACAAGTCCAAACAATGTAAGCGCAGTAGAGCTAACGCTCGGCACTTTACAGACCAGCTCGACAACATCCCAGACGCCTTACAGCAACACGAACAACTGTATGGAGGTCCTCGACAAGAGGCTCCAGGTCCGCTGGGAGGTCCAGGTGAGAGGTCCACATGGCAAACACAGACGCAGACATTCATACGTAAAACACACATTCACTTCATACTCGTAGTATGTAATTTAGACAGATTTAATTTCGTAAATGTTGGATAAATAAATTGTTTCACTTTATTATAAACGACGCCAAACATCAGTTCGAAAACAGCTGGAAAGGGTCGAATCATCGTTTTCTCATATATCATTTTTATATCGGCGATATTCAGACTTTATAATATTCTAATTAAGTAGTAAATATAAAGCACTAATCTTCAGTGCATTCGTTTACTTATAAATAATGACTTGAGTTATCATAAAACATTAGTTAAAAAAAGAAAATTTAATATAGAACACAAAGAAACTTGGTTTCATATTCAAACTAATACTAGTGATTATTTTTCTAATGTGACTTATGATACAATAAATCACAACAAAATCTGTGACATTAAATTTTGGCATATTTTTACAACTGTTTAGGTTGCCATGTCATTTTTGTTTTATTCAATCCAGTAATAGTCAAATGTTTAAACCCTTTAAAACCTAACCCTTTAAGGGTTAAATTTTAAATATCTACACAAACCTCCATCAGTTATGATTTTAATCCATGTCATAAGATTTTGTAAAACTGCGGGGTGGACAGATTATCCACCTAAGCTATTACTGTTTGGAGGGTGATTGTTACATCTTATGTCTTTGCTGTATCCAAGTGATATTTGTTTCGTGTCATTTTATCATAATTAGCTAACTAGTGTATTCGTGTTTCCTCATACAAGCAAATGACAAGCAGTGATTCGCTAAGGTAAAGAAAAAGTTCTATGCAGTTTTTAAATACACGTGTTATTCGCTAATATATGTTTGTTTCGATTTTTCGAACTGAAAATGTCTCGTATGAAATATCTATATAGTAAATACTAGGAATGATCTTGAAGACATGTTTCTATAGGACACACGTATATAGATAGTGTATATCATATCAGGTACTACGAAGATCCTTTTTAATAATCGTTCAATTATTATCCTTTTAGCAGCTATTCAAGAAGCGGTTCTTATAAGTCAAAATACTTAAAATTATTACAATGTATAATAAATTGAAAGACATACTTAAAATAGAAAAACATACTTAAATAAATTATCGTATACATATCGGTGGCATCAATAACAACATTTTAGTTCAAAATCATTCCTAGTATTCTACTTGCATATGTAACTATGCATTTTAATGTGCCAGTTTTAAACCTTACCGAAAGCCCAAGGTATGTCATAGATTTAAAGTACAAATAAGCAAAATACATAGGTATTACTAACATGTCGGTAACGAGACAGAGTTCTAAATATCATGTCAGGTGTCAAAATTGTCGTTTTTACAAATTTAAACTTTCGCAGAACAAAAATCTGTTGCACACCGAGACATATTACTAACCATCTTAACTTTTATTACTAAACATTTTGGCATTAAACGTTTGTTCATTGATGAACGAATTACGTCTTAAGAGTTATTTGGATATCCTAAAATGAATATCCAACACTGAGTCGTCCAACAATCTGAGGCCATTTTTGGTCATCACTGAAAATCATTCTGCTGAGTCCTTTTTAGCATGACCTACGATTGACAAAAGACAAAATATTTACACAGTTACAGTTTTACTGTACATATTAGATGTTTTATATTATAATTATGTCCATTACTGTTTTTTTTTTAATTATTTAAGATGGTTGTGGTGCACGTCAGTCTATTTTGTGTCAAACAAATCTGTTTCATTCTTCCATTTAAAATCTTAGTAAATATTCGCAAAATTACATCCATATCAATACTTCGGAAACAATAGTCCTACCAAAACTCTCAACTTCGTCTCGAATCGTCAAGAGTTGGGGCTGGGAACGTTGTGGTGGTGGTACAGTGGCGGTTCGCGTTGCAGGGCGAGCAGCTGCAAGTGCGGCTGGCGGCGAGGCTCAGGCCGGAGCACTACATGGCCTTCGGCCTGTCGGGAGCTGATGGTAGACCCGCCATGCTGGGGGCGGACGTGGTGGTGGCCTATTGGGACACCAAGTACTGTCGTTTGTTCTACCCACACTCCCAACCCACCCACAGAAATAGATTCAAACTTTTGTCGATCCTGCTCTTCCAAAGAATTACCCTCAAATACTCATGACAATCCAATTCACGTAGTGCATGTTGACCCTGTCTCTTGTGCCGGAGGGTGTGGGTTCGATCCCCACTTCTGGAAATTATTGTGTTATGAATAATCATAATGCTTTTCTAGTGTCTTATTTGTTTATACATCTATAATATTTATTTATTTACAAAATAAAAATATGTTTTAAGTTCCTTTCAAGTCATCCATAGTACAAGCTTTACTTAGTTTGAGACTACTCGTAAATAACGTTGTGTAAACATTTGTCCCGATATTATATTTAAATATTGATTCTTGCCCTGTATTAAATTAGAGGACTTTGTAGATTTTTTTTAATCTTAATGATGCAACATGGATTCGTATTGTGTGTGCGTGTCATATCTATTTCGTATTTGTATATGATATTATTGACATTAATGGTAAAAGCGTAAATTCTTTAGGACCAACCAACCGCGCGTGGCAGACTACTCGATCAGCCATCTGGCGCAATGCGACGGCGAGAGGGGTGTGTGCCCGGACCAGAGGTTGGGCGGCAGCAACGACGTGGTCCTAGGTTCGTGCTCCTCACAAAACTGCCCATTATATTGTATTATATTTTGTATGGAAGGGGTTGGGTAGTAAGTCCCAACGACTTACAAGATCTAATATAGTCTTCCCTTCGAAAACATTGCCTCCTTATTGTAGGATAACATTATCCTGTGTTATAAGTACGTTTTACACACATAAATTTCATACGGACAAACACTCAGATGCTAAACAATTACACGTGGGTCACGCTCATAGTTATCCCGTTCGGGAATCGAACCAACGACACCCAGCGCCGAAGCCAATACCAGCTGCAGCACGAATTCATTAAAACTGCCCAAACATATAAGTAAGAATATATTTTATCTATCGAGACCCGCTGAGTTTCTACCGCCGATTCTCCCCAACTCTACTTCTCTGAACTGGTAGTATTTGGACAATGAATAAGCGAGTGTAATTCCTACATCGAAAGTTGTTCGAATTTGTTTTTTCTTCACGGGCAGTGTCCGGCGAGCAGAAGGACGGTATCACCACGATCACGTACCGGCGGCCGCTCGGGGCCGTGGAGCCGACCCGGGACCGGGCCATCCTCACCTCCAGGCCCCAGTCGGCGGTGGCGGCCTTCGGGCCCCTCAACTCGCGCCGCGAGGCGAACGCCCACTCCTTCATGGACACCACCAGGGCCGACGTGCAGATCGACTTCGGCGCCCAGGTGGGCTACGTCTTTCGACCTTAACTTTGCGACTTTCCGTCTTCGTCAAATCTGCCCTTATAATATGCTGGCTTACAACTAACATTTAATGTGAAGGTGAATGGATGGCCAGACCAGCTGAAGCTTTAGCGAAATGAAAAACTACTTTTTGTCTATTGTGATTATTCTCTTGAAAATCATTGCCTTATTTTACGTATTTATGTAGCAAGAGTAGCAATTGCTACGTGCCCCGCGGCATAGGGGGCCTCGCTTGTTTAAATTCACTCATCTCTACCTGAGCCTTAATTTTTTGAGTGAAACTTATGAAATAAATAAGTTTTGAATTGTTCTTTTACCGATTTAGACTTAAGAACCCATGGCAGATCAAAGAATTTGTTATGGGCTCCGCGCTTGCTTAATCCGTCACTGGCATGGCAGTTAATGCGCTGGCTAAGTAAAAACGTATCTAGTCTCTCAACAAGACACATTATAATTGGACGGGAATTACTGTAAAACTGGCAAATTTTTTAATTGAATTGCATTCATTGAATGGACTTATCGTTTTATAGAGCACTGATTCTATAATTAAAAAAAGAAGACCTTCACAATTTATTGGAGTATGTTAAGATGTGAATAAAATTCGAAAATTGAAAAACATTTGCACCCGTCGGCTAGAGCGAGAAACGTTAAAAACGTCGCCACATTACAATAAATTAGACTGCACCGCGTTCACCAGACGAAACACAGAAGTGTAACACCCCACTTCACGCCGGTCCTCTATGAGGTCGTGGTATGCCCGGACGGAGCTGCCCATTCGTGCGACAGCGAAGAATGTTGCCAACGCACTCGGCCAAATGGCGATCCGGCCCATTCACACTCCCCGTCCGCCGTAGAACGAGCACAGCTGCCTGGGGCTGGCGCCGGCGGCGGCCGGGGCGCCGGCGCCGTGGCCCCCCCGCATCATCGCGGGCCGCACCCGCATGAGCGCGCGCATCGGGCCCGCCGGCGGACTCAGGGGCTACACCCCCATCACGGGTGAGTCGCCATCACCACTTATCATCCAAACACCACTCCCCCACTTTAACCCACCAATCACCATCAATCCAAAAACCTCTTCACCACCGCTGCACCTCCAATCACCATCCAAAGACCTCTCCCCCACCTCTACACCACTAATCACCATCAATCTAAAGACCGCTACACCACCTCTACACAACCAATCATTATCAATCCAAAGACCCCTTCACCACCTCTACACAACCAATCATTATCAATCCAAAGAGCTCTTCATCACCGCTTCACCTACTTTGCCACCGCTATTCCACCACCGATCCGGCCTAAATCTAAAAGAGGTTCCAGTGAGTCAACTTGCCACATGTGAGACCACACTTTAACTGAATTCACTTAAATGAGATATTTATAAGTAACTGCAAATAAGGCTTTAAAAGGATGTAGTGACAAAAATATTATAAATCATGAAAAGTATTATCAACTTATGTAAAGGTATATATTTAATTACCCCTTAGTAAAGGCAAAGACCTGTAAATATGCAGAAATACAACATTATTTTATTTACAATTGTACCATAGTTATTTAAGGTAGAAGTTAATTGTTTCATTTAGTTAATACATTCAATAAATTCCTTTTTTAAATTTACACGCAGACAACGATCTTGATAATGGATATTTACCGGGTAAATATGCTTTTGTTTACAATATTTTATTGAAAATTTCAGCTGCCGTTTCCCTAAGAGTAGGTAATTGTTGTCCTATTCGGAGTTTCCGGAGGAATTTATTATAAATTAATCGAATATTGAGCATTGAGTCCGTTAAGAATACATGGTGCAGCAAACATTACTTATACTAACATTCTAGAAGGGTCGGATCTTCTGAACGGATTTCGATAGTTATATCTCAATTTCTTCCTTCTTATCTTTTAACTACAAACATTTGAAGAATCAATTTCTCTACTCCAGGCCACCCCTCTTGGGGCATAGCGTGGTATATTGACGATCTGCTGATACCGGAGATATACGTGGAGCGGGGCCAGACGTACACTTTCTTAGTGGAGGGCGGAGACGATAGGACCAACCCCGCGAAGTTCCACCCCTTCTACATCAGCGACTCCTCTGAGGGGGGCTTCGGGCAGAAGAGAGAGGAAGACCAGCGGAAGCAGCGGGTGTTCGCTGGCGTCGCTTACGACAACGAGGGCTATCCCTACCCAACTGCTGGTGAGTGCCTCTCCTTTCTACCATGATGGAGTAGACAGCAGTACAAGTTTCCCATTAATACTCTAAATACATATAAATTTTAATCGAGTAAAGAAAACCAATAATCTTTTGACAAAATTGTTCAGAACTCACTATATTATATTTCTTATCTCGCGTAAAAGGAAACATGACTTCGTCAAGGTATACAAAAAGTAGAACCTGCCCATTGGTGCGAAAAATGCACCGCAGCAATACCGCAGTGGCTCTTCGCAATGTTCAGAGGTAATACCGCGCTCCGCTTTCAACGTGAAAGATGTCCCGCATAAATTTGGGTGAGAAATCATGGGATCCATGAAAACCATCGAGTTTAATCTCACTTGGAGTCCATGCACGTTCAACTGAAGGCATAAACTCAGTCGGTTGAACTTTTTAGTGGGCATCTACTAATATAATGAAACCCATCAGTGGGCCGGTACTGCGAGTGGACCCACAAAACAGTGGACCAGTGGGCTTCAGCCGCCACCTTCGAGGAGTACATGGCCACTCTCCAGCTGGAGTGCAACGAGGGGGAAGCGGCAGTTCTCAACTGGACGGTCGCACACGAGACGCCGGACCTGGTCTATTATCAGGTGGGTTTAATATTTAAAAAAGAAATTTAATTAAACAATACAGTAATCGGTATATATTTTACGGTGTGAATGCGCACCGAAACAGAAATACCAATTAAATAATAGTAATAATACATCTTGTTGAAGCAAACAACTGTAACAAAATTGTTTTTAGTCAAGGTGGATCACATTAGAAATCAACCAAATAAAGCAGAAACGTAGCTACATATTTAAAGCATGGCACTACACGGCTAATTAATTTTATAATATTTTTCTTCTTTCTTTCCATTCTTTCTTCCAATATTTCTCTAGTTACTGATCATAACGCAATTATAACTTCGTAACAATTTCTCATATATATGTAACACGTTCTTAACAACTTATTATTCGTATTATAAAATAGTACATTTAAACTTCAGCTGGGTTATCGTTAACCATCCCTGGACTAACAGAAAGAATTTCGTACTTTAACCTGTCATTGCCTGTCTCTGTTGCTCCCTTCAAATATATTACTGTCACGCTCACACATGCAATGACCGTGGCGTGCGAAATTATTCCTGCTCCGCAACCGGACTTTATTTTTCAAATTTTATTATGTCAAAACAACTTATTCACCCTCTTGCTATGCTATTTGTTTATTTATTTATTTATTATATATAATTGAAAAAAAAACTTACAGCTAAAACAGTCATCATGTAATCGTATGTAACACGATCACGGTCAAATAAAGGTTTTCACAGTTAGAATATTGTTAAATGTGACTACAGTGCTACACGCACAATAACCTCGGCTGGAAGATCCACGTGGTGGATCCCGGCGCGCCGATTCCGATGCCCGGGGGAAGGGGCGCTGACCTCAACGCGGCGAACCATATCGCGCCCCACGCCGTGCCGTTGGCGCTACTGGCGATCATGGCGGCCAACATGGCGACCAACATGGCGGCCAACATGGCGGCCAACATGGCCGCCAGGTAAGGGCGCGTCCGGAAACGCGTCACGGGCTCCGTTCGCAACTCGAATTTCGCAACGTTAATGCGTCTACTGTTTTTTCTTCATCCGTTATAATTATACGAAATATATATCGTTACTGTTTGTATGGAAACATAAAAAAAAATATTGTTTAAAAATTGCTATTGTTGTAGGATACTTGTCCTATATTCTATATAGAATATATTTTTTTTTATTATGTAAATGTATTTAAATGTTCATAAGTTACTGTATCTTTTATAGTACTCAGTATTCTTTGTGTTTATGTAAATTGAGCCTTTAGCATGAACCATATACAATAACGGAGCTCGCTAATACAGTGTACAGGTAACCGAATTTTCTGGTAAATATGTCAATCTGTTGTACTTATATCAATTTCATATCAGTCTAATACTGCGTGTTTATGCGTTTAACTATCTATGTAAGTTAGATTTTGGTATACCTACTTGGAGAGTCTGTAGACGAATCTTTTGACAATAAATTATTAGGCTTTAGATCAGATCGATTCCAAAGGGCGACGGTGTGATACGCGGCCGTGAAGAAATTAAATCAATTTTATTACATATATATATATCATATTATATTATATACTATTTTGGAACTTGTACGTTATATATTATATTTAATAAGTGCAGTGGGTAATTTATTATTGAGCTAGGGTTACCTCTGTAAAAATATGTGTCTAGATCTTTATATTATATTTGTCAATCTAAAAAGTGACAGTACAAAATATGTTATTACAAGAATAACAACTATAATGGCAGCATTATTAAAGTCTGAGAATAGACTTTTACTAATTTTCGAATCCTAAACAGCAGCTTTTATTGACTGGATCAGATTTTTAATAATGTAACTTGTAACAATAAAATGTATGACCGTATGTATATATTCGTATAAATATGTTTGTTTGTTATGATAAATATACAATGTTTTTTTTTTGTTATTATAAAATGTGCCACAACGTCACGTAAGCGATATCGGTCTGAAAAATATACAATGTAATTTTATCTTATTACTGTAATATGTGATGTTGAATTTGAAACTCGAATGTTAATTATTGGAACTTTTCAGATTCTGCTAAAAATTTAGACAATAATCGACCTTGTATTGTATCCCATTTATAATCTAAAGTTAATTCGTCTGGCCTTAATAATATAAATAAAAGCTTCTTCCTTATTTTCAAAGTCAAAGTCAAAGTCAAAGTGGTTCATGGTTCGATTCGAGCACAGATAATGCAAGGTGTTTTGTTTGTGTTCTATATTGCCCATCGTAATGTTGACAATAATAAAAATCTAAAATAATTATTCTTGTTAAGTATTAGTAAAGTTTGTAATAATTATTTCGAAACGCAACATCTATGTGTAAGTATCTTATTGACTTTAAATTTAGTATACACAGCATGTCGTTACGACCGCGACAATAAATGAACACACGTATAACGCTACTTGGCAAATATCTTAAAAAAATATAAAACGTTAAAAAATCCATAATTAAAAAAAATATATTCTTCAAACAAAGTAATTAAATAAAAAAGAAACAAAATTTGTAACATCCTATACAATTACAACTGACTGATTTATACATTCAGAGACTTTTTCATTCGTTGCCACAGCGTCGCATTACATGCCTCTTCTTCTAACAGTATTTTTTGACCCTTTTAAATTCATTCAACCCATTCATATGCTTTGTGACCTTTACAAATGAACTTCACGATTACGTTACAGTTTCATACGTAAAGTGTTCTAAAAGTGTCCTAATGTTTGTTTTCTAAAATTTAATAACTCGGTGAATATTGATGTTTAAAAAATGTAAATGCTTAATACAATTTTAAAAAAATATCTTCTATATGTATGTTCATTTATTGTCGCGGTTGTAACTACACGCTGTATATTGAGTCTACATTCCAAGTTAATAAAATTATCGACAATAATTTAAATTATAGTTTCATCTAATGTAATTTTGTAAAGGTGGAAGAAAGATGACAATAAATTGGGCTAAAAAATTTTAAAAAGACATTTATATAGCGAATTATAGTTTATATTTCATGTATAGAGGCCTAAAGTCATATTATGCTGCAGTTTTATTGTATTTACATTAATTATGCCTTTTAGCATAACATAATATATGTATATTTATATTTATTAGTAGATAAATAATGAAATTAATATTTATTTATTATTAAAATAGCTTTGTAGACGTTAAAATATATTTGTGATTTTTTTATACTGCCTGTGTGTGCCACAGCCTAATTTTGTCTTGACAATAAACTAAATGTAACGAATTTGCAAATGTACTGAACTTAAATGTATGACAATAAAATTTCGTACTTACTCTCTGAATCAAAATATAATGACGTATTATAAGTTTAGACGAAATTGTTTTCGGAGAGAAAAATTTTACCTATTTATAATAATAGAGTCGATAATGAATATTAGCTCGTAATTTCAAATCACTTTACACTATGGCGTAGTTGTAGGTGTTGTTCGAGCACAGTTTTGTTAACTTTAAGAGTTTTATTAGAGATTAAACCGTGAGGCTTTAGCGGAACTGTGAAGTTCTCTGTGCAATTATAAAGGGCCTGTTCTCGCGTGTTGGCCCACTATTGGTAAATTTGATATTCTAAGATTAACTGTTGACAATAAAATATACAATTTTCACTTACTGATGAAGCCTTAATGTTGATTTATATCTCATTTTAGGCGTAATAAAATATTACAATCATATTGTAAAATGTTTTAACGTTTTTCTAAAAGTACAATTGTTTATTGAGCACTGGATATTTATAAGTTTGTGTTTGTTTTACCTCCAACAATATACCTACACGGACATATATTTATGTTTCTAACTATAATAAATTCGATTGTGTATAAAAAAATCGTATTTCGTTTTACAACAACCAAAACATTATAATGTAACATAAATAAGTAATATATTTGAAAATAAATCTATTAGGATTACCTACTCAATTATTTAAAAAAACATTATTACAACTTTTCTTCCTGAAATATGGTCCTGGAAACGCTCCAGTGCAATTTTTTCACGTCGCATTAAATTATAATAATCTATATTTCATTAGGTCTAATTAAAAAATAAGATAAAAAAAATAATTGCATTAAACTTAAAATTTCTCGGCCAACAGTCAAAATGGCCGACTGGAATCCAAAAGGTTAATAATAATGAATTCATTTGAAAATGTAATAAAAATTGAAATGGCATTAATATTGTAAACGATACAAATTACTACGATATAAATTATACACAGGTTCAAATTTTTTTTATTTCATATACTAATATCCGCAGCAGATAGTATTTAAAAAATGTATTATATTGCCATAAATATAGTTTACCAGAGTACAAATCTCAAATTTATATGTGTGCTGTATTATATTATAAATCAATTATGTGATAAATTCATTCGTTTGGAGAGGTTTAAATGTATTTAAAATATTTAAGTTTATAATTGCCCTCCATTTGAAGCGTTATATTATCTTTATTGTATTAATTTTTTATTTGCATGTGAAACTAATTATTATTTTTTTTTAATTTCAAAAAGTCCGATTTATCGAATCGGACTTTTTGAACGTGTTGCCGTTATGAATTCTGCCGTAGAGTGCAATCATGAATCCCATTCCTCCACGAACAGTTGTCTTAAAAGTTTTGGCACTAAATTAAACAATGTAAATATTTGCGTGTTTTGTAAATGGTAATTCGATTTTGAAAAAAATGCGGTAACCACGTTCTCTAATGAATTGCTGTTTTGTGTAATATTTGAAACCTTTGACAATAAATACCTTTCCTTAATTAAATCGTAATGTTTTTTTATACCCTATAAATGAGCGACTTCATGAAAATTGACGAGTATGGTGAGTATCATTAAATTATAGCAATCAGCACAGACTAAGTTACCCGTACCACAAAATAATTACTTCGTAATAACATGAAATCAAAGACAAAACAATGGTGTTCTTTAACCACACGATAAAGGTAAAAAATTGTTTTTTTTTATGAGAGAATTTGACAAGCGAGCTGGCGGTTCATCTGATGTTAAGTGTTGACCGCCGCCATTGACATTTGCATCACCCTTGCAGATTTATTGCCACCTAATAAAGTGGGCCCCGGCGACCTCACTCACCAGACGAAGTGCAGAATCTTCCGTAAGGTCGTGTTACTTACTCGGACCTGCCCATTCGTGCAACAGCCGAAGCTGTAGCATAGCCCTACCACAGTAAAATGTTTCAATTAAAAATGGCCAACTGTAAATTAAAAATATTCCTTTTAATAGCAATTAAAAGGAATATTTTTTTTTTATTATACATGTATGACCGAAGGGGTTAGGAGACACATCATATTGATTTTCAACATTCGTACCAATTTTCAGCACTATGCGAATAAAGCTTATTAATTAATTCTTTCCATTCTCTCTTGATCTACGCGCTTATCGGGTGCCCGATCAGCTTTTCATGGCTGAGATCTCAGAATTTTATACAGTTTGCAGCATTTTAAAAATTAAAAAAAAAAAATATGATACTACCGATAGACACATCTTCGCATTTACCGTTTTATGTATCCTATCCAGTGTAGCTGTTTGTATCCAGAATTTTTAAATAGATCCATCTATAAATGAAACTAATTTTTACGGATTTTTTTACGATAAAGGGTTTGAAACGTCGGGAATTATAATTAAAAATAAACGCAATAAATCCTTATACATTAGTTTCATTTATAATGTGTAATCGCGTAAATACAATGGATCCATCTACTTTCTTCAATTAGGTCCCAAGTCGAATGCTATATCCACTGTGGGCGTTCTTTCGATTTGTAATTCGAAATTGGATTCCACTTCACTATATAGCATCATCTTCTACTTTGAGAGAGAAGAAACGGCGGGACCGTTACTTAAGTCATACGTCTGGTGCGTCCGGCCTGTTTAATTTACCCACATTATACCTTCGGCGACCACCAGGATGTGATGTTGTAGAGAGGATATTGATTTTTACGGCAGTATGTGATGTATAGATTTAGCTGATATAAGTAACGTCCTGCTGTGATTAGCACTATTTTAACTTTAAAACTTGTCTAACATTGTTCTTTACAGTTTCTGAAAACATTTTAAATCTACTATCATCAGCGTCTTTGCCATATAGCTCGAAAAACCCATAACCGTCGGGGAAGATTCTCTAATGGTAACCTCTTACTAACCATCGCAGTGTTGTAAGACCACCCATTAGATGGAGTGACGACCTGTGCAAGTGTACGGGAAGTCGATGGATGCAGGTGGCTCAGGATCGTGCTTCGTGGCAGTTTATGGGGGAGGCTTATGTTGAGCAGTGGACATCAACTTTAATGCCATCAAATTCAGCCGACAACTTCTAAACTACATATCTTCTTGTATCTAATACTTTTATATTTTCGTCGGCGTGGAATTTCTTTAATAAGTTACGCGTCGATTGAACGAACGAATATAGAGTCGATTTGAAATAACAATAACAACTTTTTTCTCACGTAGAAAAACTTCTTTAAGGATCCTTTATGAGAGTTTCGGTCAGACGGGTGACCACTAAAAAACCGCTTTGCATCTGTCTGTGTCACGGGATACACGTAGACGCAATCTTCTGCGACCCTGACGCGATTATAACCTTATTGGGCCTTGAAAGATTGCACCCCACGATAGCGCTCAGCTCTCAACTCTGCTCCCTCCAGGTTGATTAATCCTCCAGCACGTGTTTAGCTGTCTGCTCGGTACATTTGTCACAGTGATGTCATTCCGCTATGCGCAATTTCCTCGCTACGCAAGTTCCTCCCGAAACAAGACTGGTCGAAACAAGAGTGGTCCGAAACAAGAGTGGTCCGAAAGGACCTGAGTCGCACGGTGGGCAAAGGAACGATAATAACGATAAAATGTTTCAGAATGTAATGTATACGTCGTATACATAAATGCTTTGTATAAATGTACTTTGCATAATATACTATTTTGTTATTTTTAGGTACACAATGTGATTCGGCTTTCCCCATATACTCGTATCGAGGCGAAGACATCGGAAATGGTCTTAATTGATTAGTGTCCCAAATGTTTCAGAATAGAATGTATACGTCATATACATAAATGCTTTGTATAAATGTACTTTGTATATACTAATAAGAAGATCGCATTACTTCTTATCGAGGGAAGAACCTCCATCCACAACTTTCTGAAACATTTGCCATTTAGGGCATTTAGTTCAAGTCGTCCTAGAAACGTCGGTAGCGTAAAGGAAGATAGCTAGAAGGAAAGTCGGGGCTTAGTACCGAATTTTTATAGTTCAACTTATTTCTTACTTATTATAAATATAAATTGTGCAGGTGTCTTTAAAAGTTGATTCATTATATCTGTTGTTATTAGTATTTTCCTGATATTTTAAACTTAACATTATATATTTACAATTATGTGTGGGTTAATAATTATTTAGATTCCTCCGGGTTTAAATTCGCGTTTAGGAACGTAAGCTATTTGACTTTATTCGTCGAAAGTCTTGTTCGACGATCATTATACCTCTAAATAACTAAAGCTATTACCAGTGATACCAACTGTTCAAAAATACTAATTCTAAATAAATTCGAAAACCCACTAAAATTGACTTCATTCTAAAAACTTACTGAATTTAAAATCACGATTTTTTTAGACTATTAAGGTAAAATTAAAACATTTCCTGATTAAATTTAAAATTTCATTAAAAATAAAAATTGAAGTAATATAAAAATGATTTATTTTAACATCTTATATATCGCTTAATAATTGACTTTAACATATTTTTAGAACACGCAATCATGAGTAACAACATTTTTATAATTTGTGTAAGAAATAATACATTTAGTATTATTACTTAGGGCGGAAGAATTTAAAATATACACACAAAGCACATAAGCCTTGGTCTGATTTCCACCAGAAGCAGCACAGCACTATTAAATTATATTTTTCTTTTTGTGTAGTTTTATTTTTTTCCAAAAATATGAATAAAATTTAAATAATAGAAATATTCACAAAAAATGTACCTCCTAAAAAATTTCCATTGTATATTTTTCTTCCTTAATTTAGGCAGAAAATTCTTAAGTAGTAAGTTGGCATACCGTGCTAGGTACCAATGCAATCCAGCTCAAGGCTAAACAAAATTTAAAGACATCGTTAATACTCGTAATTCGTATTTAAATGCAACAAAGTTTTTTTCCATGCTGTTAAGATTCAAAATTACTTAACTGCGCGCTTTGTCGCCCGTTACGGCTCAAGGCTAAACAAAACAATAAAAATATAATAGTATCGTTGTAGTAATCGTTGATACCATGATTAGTATTTAATTGAAACGGATCTTATTTGCATGGCATTAAGATTCAAAATTACTTAACTTATTCATAATATCTGTTTAAAAATCTGATATTGTGCCTTGCTTGCCGTACTGCTCTAACTAGTGAGTATTTGTATCTCACGCGCTTTGTCTCTCGAAATCTGTTTAAAAATCCGATATTATGGCAAACGCGTATGATATCGCGATTCGTGTCGGTATAGCGAGCGAGCGAGTATTCGGTATATCAGATTTCGGAAATATCAGATATTGTAAAATACATAGATTTTGAACGAGCCAGTATGCGATATTCGGATATTGTACTAATATCTAGTTTTCATATCTGATACGATTTGTATCGCCCACTTCTACTTATCTTATCTATGACCAAAACTTTTGACAAATCGTGGGTAATGTTGGTGCATCTGCATTTTCCTTCCCTAGCCATAAATAATCCATAATCTATAAAACAGTGACTCACGCGTTGTTTCACCTGTTTCATGTATTTGTATACTTAGTATTGTTATTGTTAATTGTTCTAAGACTGCTTGTAGATTATGTTTCATTTATAGCTGTTGCAGCGTCTACTGCTGTTAAAACAGTTGTGTCATCAGAACTTCAGTGTAAAGTGGTATCCACTGAACGATTCTATTAAATTTTGTATTATTTAGAAAAAGTTATGGCAGAAAATGTAAGTAACTAGTATTATTGTCAATTAAGGCCTTTTCTCTTCAATATAAAATATTTAAAAACTACACGCTGCCATCATGTATGTAACAAAAAAAAAAAACACAAAAACTGTCAACACCTGTCCACCCGACAATAAGAGGTTTCTTTTAATTTGGCAGTTAAAACAATGAAATTGTAGTGCTCAATTTTCGACGGTAGTAGTAATATTTGAACAAAAATTATTGAACATATTTATGTTAAATTATTAATTAGTATGATTTGTATGTTATCCTTCTTAATTTTGACATTTAATAGACTGTGATTAGTTGTTATTTTACAAGCAATTATCAGAATATTTTTAGATTACATAACTTTTAGAAAATTTTTCCAATTTCCTTAAATATGCTGTACCCGAGGAGGAGCAGATACTTTCTGTGCCCGTTACACATTTTCACCTTTTTACTCTATCATACATTGATAAACTTTCATGCTTTCATAACTTATGTTATTCCATCATCTATTAACGGGTTACTTAATTACAGAAGATTCAAGATAATCCATTGCCAGAACAATCAAAGCCAACAGAAACTATGCAAGACCAACCAGATGTGAGTGATAAACAGAAGAATATTACACCGAAAAGTCTTCCTGATAAAGCAAATCCAGTACCAGTTCCGGTTCCAGTGGTGTCCCCATCACCGAGACTGACCATCCCGGCATTCACTAAAACCCCACCAAATGAGTTATACAGAAGATTGTTACCAGCTGTCCTGTTTTTGTTGACTTTTGTGACAGTGATGACTATTTTGTTGATTTACATGGACACCGTAGGTGAGCAAAAACTAGATGACATTTTTGAAATGTCTTCTCATCTCCGCATAACCAAATAATCAATATGCACTTTATCTTTTGGTTATAGTTCTTTTTAGTGATGTTCTGGATATCCGAATCCGTATCCGCGGATCTACAATTTCAAGTTCTACAAGGATCTACAATCACTAGTTCTTTCGAATAAGTATAGATTTTATAACTAAAGTTATTTAAAAGAGTTGGTCTTATGCTATGGAAGAAACTTAAAATAGAAGAAACACAATAAAAGAATATTTTGCTATAAAATAAAATTAGACAACCGCTGATAGTTTACCACTTTTAATTATCAAAATAGCATTAAAAGATGTTCACCTCAGCAGTAACTTAATGAGTAATTATTTAGCTTTCTTTAACTGGTGTGAAGAACTTAATTTCTGTTTGTGTTATAATGTAACATTAAATGTGCTACACAAATAGTTTAGTTACTGTTTTGGTGGCCAGGGCATGACTATGTCTTGGAGGTTTAATCCTGTGTCACTTATTTTTGCCTTATTATTTGTGTTTTCATTGCCTCTATTATATTAATGAAATTTTTGCAGCTCTTGGAGCTCAACAGTTTCGGCTGAACATGTCGCGGGATTATGAACTAGCAAAAATACCGCAAGAGTCCCCACCCCTCGTCGCCTATGTTAGACAACTACACTTAGCGCCACGCGCTCCTCATGTGCAGCCGCCTCGGCCCGAGCCCACCCCCAGGGTCGAAATTCTGGACCGTATCCTGGGTCCAGTCGAGCGGGGGACCTTCATAGAGTTCCTACCCAAAGGTCCAAGGGATCCAACCACTCTTTTCTTGGAGACAGTGCGCAGTTGGGATGGAGTTGTTGTAAGGGCCGCTGCAAGGGACTATCTAGCGTTGAGGGGTGCATCCAGAGCTCTGCATGCCTGCCTGAGTCCAACAAATCATCCACGCGAGGTGAATGTTCTGTTTAAATCTTATAGGGGTAGACAGCTGTTTATCATTTACCTATTTCTGTCAATTTTATGTTATTGGGTTTTTATTTTTTTGTTTAATGGATATTAACTTGCTTTAGTGTAACCAATAAAGAAAAATTAAAAATATTTAATGGGATCATGGTCAAATATTGATCAATGGCAAACGCAAGTATTAAAACTAGTCGCGTATTTATCAAATTTATGTAAAGTAGATGTAATGCTGATGTCCTAAGAACATAAGCATCCATCACTTCAAATCCATGGTTGGTGTTGATTGGTTATAATATCTGAGAACAAGAAGTTTTAATTTTCTCCTTAATTCAAAGTATTCAGATGGACCCAAATAAAAAAAAAATTGTTTATTGTTCATTTTGTAATTTTAAGTTCTGATTGAAAATTTAGGGAGACCATTGTGAAAATAGTCTGCTTCTCTTGAGTCACGTTTTTGTAATGTTATACACAATGCTGTAGGTGACATACCAAGAAGCGGAGACTCGAGGCTCTGCCTTCAGTTCCCGGGTGCTGTGCCTGCCACTTTACACGGTTTTGCTGGCAGCCGAGGCGACAAGGGCCAACCTGCTGCTTCTCGGAGGGGACTCTGCCCTTCCAGCTCTGCAGCATTTACCCTTCGAAGATGGCCTTGTCTATTTACAGGTTTTAATTCTGCGCTCTTACATTGATAGTACTTACAGTAATGAATACTTAAATATAAACGCCTTTACTTTGATAGTACTTACAGTAATGAATAATTAAATATGAATGAATCACGATTTGGACTTTTAGAGACTGTCATGGTGATATTGTATAGCAGTTTTTGAATCCTCATGCTCACCCATGTTTTCCGTTTTTCGGAGTTCTCCCATGCACACTGTAGCACATTTGTACACAATGTACAGATAGAGGCTCTGGGTTCAGAGGGTTTGGTTCACACAGCCAACCAAATGGTTGTTCCTGATCTGGCTATTTGTCCTTGTGAAATATGTCTTGTGTAATCCTTGCAACGCACAATATTCTTATCCCACAGCCAAGCATAAAAAAATGATTGTGTACTTATGTACCTTCTTCTTTAGCTAAACAAAAGAAAAAGAAACTAAAAGTGTATATTTGTAAATGACTAAATTTTTTATTGTTTGCTATGGTTACCATTCACTCATAAATTTGCCCAAACTCGTCAAAAAGACGTATAACTTGTAAAACAAAAAGAAAATGTGAAAAAAATATTTCTTTTAGATGATCGAAGTGTTCTCAAAGGATGCAATAGCGCGAAACCAGACCTCACAGTTCCTGGCAACCAAGAATTACACAGTGGCTGCTACTTTCGAAGACAGCGTTTTGTACGCACTCAACATTACCAAGGTATGATACGATGCATTCAGTCTCCACAAAAATGCACTGTTCTTAATACTTGGTAATTGATATTTTAACTATTGATTCAAATCCACCGCTTAGATCTGTATCAATTAATTTTCAATTAAAAATTATATAGTCTGTAATTAAGACGCGCCTTCAAGAATAAGTGATATATTTAAGTGTTTTGAATAACGATACTAGTAAATTAATAATGTTCTCAATATAATTGTAAGGATGCCATGACTAAAATTTTAACTGATTTTATTTATTGAATCTGATCTGTTTTAATGAAGTTTTAATCCTAATGTATGAAAGAATATGTATTCCTATTTGTCGCCGTATTGGCGGGAATTTTTAGTATATTTAAAAACTTGCTAATTGTCATAAAAACCATTATAAGCTTTCTTAATTGTTGTTCAATACATACTATCGATATATTTATTTTGGTAGCTACTTTAGCATTTAAAACATCATAGTTTATAGGTTGATAGTTATCCTGGACACAAATACGGCTGCAATAAACTCCAATGTAATCAGTTATTCGGGAGACATGCATATTTTAAAAGAAAAAAAAAACAATGTTTATAACCTCCACCCTGCATATACCTGCGTGAGTCACTGAAATCGAAAATGTTTACAGTTTCTCACGTTATTGTCTTTGATTTGAAACAATATTTCCTACGTAAGGTGTGTAGCACCGTATTTATTAAAATATATTAAAATTATTTGAACTCTCTGAATTAAAAGTTTTTTTGTTGGTTGTACAATACCTTTTTGATGTTATAAACTTATATCCCATGATTTTGTTTATATTAACAACAAATATACAAACCTATCCAGATTATTGTAATAGCTTGCGACTTGATTGATTTCTAAATATTTTATGGAATATTTTTAAAGGTATGGTGTTAAGTCATTATTATGTAAATGTTCCTATTTTATTATTATCACATGAAAACTGTAAAATATTAACAAAACACTGTTAACTCGGTAATGTTACACAAGAATCTTGATACAAGGCTTAAATTTAAGCATGCTCAAATAGTAACAATTGTCCGGAAGGTTTATTCTGTCCAAGTGCCTTATATAACAAGTTTTATGTAGTCTCTATAAACATACACTATATTTATAAGTGCTTATTTCATATGTCGATGTTCAATTAAAGCCAACTCATTACAAGATAGTTTAAACTCTTTATTCAATAGTAATAATTCTGTTGGTTCCATGTAATAATTGACGAAATTTAGTCATTTATAATTGTTGATACATAAAAAACTATATTTTATGCACATGGTAGCATTCCGATCAAAAATTTTTCATTATTAATTAAATAACATCCATTATATGGTTCAAAAACTCTATTGCACTGTAATGCTTAGACTTGGTGGCAACTCTAATGTCCACATCAAAGTTAAACTTTAAATACTTCAATGATTTAATAGCACTGTATATAACAAAATTTAATTTTAAATTGCTTATGTAGAACTGCATGACTGAGTTTAATTATATGTTTGTAAACAGTTCTTCTATTGTTTTAAGTACAATATAGTTGCATAATCAAGTGCACTTATCTTAAAAATAAACCAACAATTGCTTAAACCTTCTCCAAAGTGATTGAATCTTACAAACAAAATATATGACAGTATTACATACTAGTTTTTTGGCTTGTCTTTTCTATCAGCAGTATATAAATATATTTTAATTTAACAAATGTTTAGTAATGATTGCTTGTATGTTCCATTAATATGTTCCAATAATGTTTCATTTCATTTAATCTATTTAATAAAAAAATAGATAATTGTATAAGTTAATCTTTTATATAAACATAAAGTTATATGTAAATGATGAAGAGTTGTGATGAGAAATAAAATGAAGAGATGAATTCCAGATGTGACAATAAGGCTTGTGCAAAATGGTTGTTAATAGTGATATTGCAATTTTTCTTATTACAAAAGTTGAAAGGTATTTTTTTATAAATTATAACCACAATAAATGGAGACTCACTTGTTAATATAAGGATAATATTTTATCTATGGCATATTCACTGTTACACACGCTTTAAAATTACGTTTCGTATGTTTCTCTAGTTGTGCAGCTATTTCTATAATAAGCGAACTTTAGGTAATACCGAACAAATTAAATTATGCATTTTTTAATTTTACAATTTTTATTAATGATACCGTTTTAATTATTTGGAAATATTATTTAAAGTTGTTTAAAAACCCATTCCCCATATTAGAATAACTTATCTAAACAAAATGTAATTATTTTTAATTATTAATTACAATTTAATTTTATTAATCATATTATTTGATTCCAATTAATAATTAATTTTTCATTGTATCCTCGCGTTGTGATTGGAGTCACGCCAATTGTTATTTTCTCTGTACAATAATTATTCAATCATCAATTTAATTGTTTTTCATGAAGACTGAGTATCGAATATATTTAATTGGAAAGTGACAATTACTTATATATTATTTTGGCAGCTACATTTTCTAAGTAAATCTCAGTATTAATTCGATATGTTTTTGTCAAACGACCCGCTTAATTTTAATGAATTAATTTACGATTTTTAAATAAGTGATGATGACAATTTTTATTTTCTAATTAATTAATCTACGTATTTTAGTTGGTAAGATCTTGCTAGAATTAGTTTTATATGCGCTCAATTTTTCACAAAATAAATGCTTTAATGAGGATTAGCACGTCTTTTTATTCACCCGCAAAATATAATATTTCGATATTTTGTTTTGTCTGTGAAAAAAAATTAGAGAAAAACATTTTCCTTTCTGCACCATTTCATTTACAGAAAAGCTGATGTGTCTATTTTCAGAAGAGTTTAGCTGACCCTGCAGACATTATTAAAAAAAATCGTATGCCAAGTATTAAATATTTGAATGTGCGGACATTGCCCCGGAATCGAATTTAAAATAAATAACGTTTTTGACAAGATTTCGACATTAATATATCGATATCGGATCAAAATATATCGGCTTTCATTTTATTTTTTAAAGGATAAATCTTATTTAGTAAAGTTATATATGTATATATACTGTGACACTCAAACTGTTAACTTTAGATGAACAACAGTGACAATTAAAGGGACTTAAAAAATTATGTCAAAATTGAAATTAAGTAATGGTAAATTGTACTTCAAAAAAGTAACTTGGCAGCTTTATCCCTCAAGTCATGATAAAAGATAATAAATATGTGCGAGCAATATGACAGAGACCTCCAACTATTTTACTATTAATCTGCCAAAACTAGTGGATCTTGGTAAATTTATAATCTTTTTTTGACATATACTGTATGACCAAATTAGTTTTCGTATCTAATATTTTATTTTCAGATCGCTCATCATCATCATCACCACTATCTAACATGCTAGCCATAGACTCTTCCAGACTCTGGTAATGTTCTTTTCGAACAATAATTGGTTTGTTCTACTTATTGTAGTTGTGATATTTACATCATTTTCCAAAAATGTACCTACTTCTTCTCTTGTATGAGAAAATCATTGGTGAATTTACCTTTGACACTTAGTTCTAATAATGTTATGGCTACCTGAATTTTTTTTTATCATATTCTGATTTTCCTGAATATAAAGTCTATTCTTATATATATCTTGACGCCAATAATCCGTATCCGTATCCACGGATCTACAACTTTAATGATCCGGAACATCACTAAATTTAATATAAATTGGCATAATATTTTGCAGGGTTTAGGGATAACTGACAGTTTTAAATAAATGAAACGGCATGGTGTTTATAATTACGTTTATTAATACTTCCCTGGGATACAAACAACTACCGTGATCCAATACCTTGTCAATAATTTCCTGATCATTCTAGAGCGTCCATCTTCAGCAAACACAAAATTAAATTTCGGGATATTTTCTAAATAAGGTACATTTTACTAAGGAATAAACTAATTTAAATTTAATAATTAATTTAATCAATTCATCCAAACAATATATTAAATTAAAATACACGAATATATATTGTATTTGCTTAATAATATGTTGTGCGAATAATAAACACGTAAATAGGAATATACATTTAAATCGATAAACTAAATAAAAATTATCTTAATGAGCCAACTATTTATACGTAAAACATAATTCAATTATTGCTCTTAAATCTCCATCAGTTATATTATTGGAAGAACTACATAAAAAAATGAACATGTATTGTATGAACACAGCAATTTTATTTTTTAGATCTGAACTCGATTTTATGAAGCGAATAAAAGTGGTTTTAACATAATGTTTTGTTTATTGTTTTATTGGTAAGCAACCTTTATATAACTCAATATTTCATTAATAAAATCGAAGAAGCTATTACACATTCCATTTAATTATTACAAATAATGCGCGATGTACATTGCAGTTAGAGTCTACTTCTATAGTAACATCATTTTTTACAATATATTACTAATTTGCTTGAACTATAAACGTTGCACCAAAATTTACACAAGCACGAAGGCTTAAATCTCTTGGAGGTAAGATTAATGTTGAAGAGAAATACCAATACAACAAAAGGGATGAAATAAAACATTACGATGACAACGAAAAATGTCCAAATTTCGCGGCCTTTTTTTGGTAGCTTGCTTTTTATTTGGTAAAAAAAAGCTGAGACACATTATCATGCTGTCATTTCGCGTTTTTAGAGATTAAAAAAAACGTTTTTACTGTGGCTCGGAGTTTATAATCTGCACTGTTTTAAAAGTTAAATTTAAGATAACATAGAATAACATGAATATTAAATACCAGTGTTCTTTTCCATTTCCATTTGCGTTCATGAAGAATTTGTCTTTAGCTGCCTTAGCACAACCCGAAAATTAGGAATGAATATAAATGCTTTCGTGGTCATATAATATATTTATTCACCATTGGCACATAATTAACATGTAGATAAGTTTGACATAATCTAAAATTGCACCGTTTCATTCTCGCAGTACTTTCTCTAGTTTTTGAATGAAAAAAAAAAAAGGTTTATAAATAAAAATCGACCATAATTAAAAAAAACCTTATAGACATTAAGTACAATTGAACAAACCAATCCCTTCGAAACACTCGTTCCAACGACCGACTTCTTTTATTTTTATAATTACACAATCGCTATTAATATTATAATAACACTTAAATCAATTTTATCCTATTGATCGTAAAGGCTACTTTAGTTTGTATTAGGGATATTGGTGTCGTTTGTAACATTGCCGGAGGTGGCAGAGCGTATTCTGAGATGGGGGGTCTCCAAATTATATAATCTGTTGGCTATATTTATTTTTAATTCCATTTTTGAAGTTTTACCAGATACTCTATTTTTTTTTCTTTAACTGCACTAATATCAGTACTTTTATGGATATGAATAAGCCTCTTAACGTATCTGTGGAGGCCAAGGGCGAATACCAATGAAATTATTATGAGACCAAATGGGAGCTAAACCGAAATCAAAAATAATTTTTGATTTTAAAAATTTCTTAAAAATGACAGAGTTTGAGGTAACTAAGAAAAAGGAACCGAATTGAAAACATACTCTTTTTTGCAGTCGGTTGAAAAATCAGGCTGTACCATCATTATAGACTCACAAGTCGCATTATTATAGACATACGGCGGCTTTCAATACTCTATCTAAAGACACCTTTGGTTACTAGCGATAGGTATTTGACATCGGCTCCATAATAATTACGTCAAAATTTTATCTCCAGTAACCAAATCTATCTGTACATTGAATATTGAAACCGCTCGTTAGAGACCCCCAGTTCTAAAGCCCGATTTGCATTGTCCAAAGACAGCGGCGCGTAGCGAGTACAAGTAAGCCAGTGGTGGGCACCGGCCAAGTGGTTGTTTATAATACATGTGGCATTTCTCTGTCGAAATGGACGAGCAAAGTCAGGAAATACGTGCAATTCTTTCTCCTGTTGCCGGCCACAGTGCTAATTTGACTGTTTAAATTACGGCACGTGACGAGTCTATTGCCGCGCGGGGTTTAAATGGGGCGCGAGGGTTGCACTTGCACAAAAAAATCGAAAGTATTCTATTTGGGTCTAAGTTGCAAGGCAGATAGCAAGTTGACTCGCCACTGTCCGATGGTTTACACCACTGTACTAGTTTATTTACTCACTGTACTTATCTCATCACTAAACACTTGACCGGTGTAAATCGGGCTCAATAAATCACGTTTATTTTCAAAAGTAGTAGTAAGTAGCGATCGAAGCGGGTACAAAAATACTCTAAATTGATATTTATTCACTAACAACCCTATCTAGTATCGCTTGTAAAATGCCAATTTCAAACTTCACGACCTCTGACATTTGATACAACATACATACAATGTCGATGGGTATAAATACAAAAATAAATTGTCAGTTTTTGTTTAGTATATGTTAAAACGAAATGAGGTTATGTGAAGCTGTTTGTGTAGTTATTTTTATTTTCAATTCTAAAATCAAGTGTAAAATTCGTTATAGGTGTGTAATTATTAAAACCTGTGGACATTCAAATATGCCCGAAAAAAATGTACCCATAAAGTTATGTTTAAAAAAAGCTTACCGGAAAAAGTCCATATAAACACTAAGCATTTACGTTTATATATTAATCACAATAAACACGAAATAAAATATATTTAATTTCTTCGTATTCAAGAAACAGTAGAATAAGTAAAGTTCTCAAAAGATAACAAAACGAGTATATTATGTGTAGGTAAGTCATGTTAAGTAAGTAAGTTATGAAGAATGTGTTCAAAGTTAATTATGTAATTAATCATAAGACAAAGTAGAAATATTAGATCGAAACATTGCTAAGTCTAAATCTGTGAAAATTAATATTTTCAACTATTATTTCAACAATTCAATGAAAATAATTAAAAAATGTCCTGAGCAAAATTTTATTTCCGTTAAAATCGGTTTACGCACAAATATTTGAAATCAACGACCAGTAAATTCAAAACATGCAATGTTTGGTTTAACTTATAGCAAAATTTTTGATGTTAATTATTTACCAAATTATCTTGCCCGTTAGTCGAAACAATTATTTTTCCATACTATTGTGTAATTAAAGATCAAGGAAAAAAATTGATATATTTCTTAACAAGAGCACCACTGTATGTAATGAACAAAATGATAGATTAAATAATATCATATAGCTTCGTGAATTGTATGTTGTAGCTTTCATAGCTTCGGATTATTTATTTTTAGCATCAAATTAAGTAGCATGGTGTTCATTCAGGGATGTGTTTATTTTAAAAATATCTTGAGCAAATGGCATGGACTTTTGTGATCCGAAAGAGGTCAACATGTAGTCAGTATTTGGAATCATCTTTGTATAACATTACTGCATTATACTAAAATGTTTATATATATATATATCGGAATGTAGAGAGGGTATTTTCACCTTACTTGAAAATACTATAAAGTTATTAACAGACTGATTCATTTCTTTGTTGTGTATGGGCCGAGGGGATGATCGGAAAGTAGGATAGATACATTGGATTTATTGCAATAGCACTTGTGATATAATTCTAACTAACAACTAACTAGTAAACGACTACCACAATTAAGAAGAATTAGGGATATGGCATTTAAATATTAAGTTATCAATAGGTCACATTAAGTTGTTAAAAATTATTAACATACAACGGATTACAAAAAACATATAATCTATTGTGTTTGGCCTGTCACATTTCTGACCATCGATATAGAGGCTACATCCCTACTTCTTCTTTGTGGAGACATCTATATAATCAACATACAACAATAATATCATGTGATATACATTGATATGCACCCTCAAACAACAACGCAATGTGTGGGCTCCGCAACTATACATCTTTTGCCACTAATATAATATCAAAACCGTATAAAAATCTCTTTGAGTTCACCTCGTGGCAATGCGTTGAAACCCACACTAGTGTTTAGTGAAAGCACTAGTAGAAAAAAATCGTACATTATACAGTTCATGATTGGTTTGAAATCAAAATACAAACCAGATTTGGCTCCAGAAACAATTGTTATTCACTTATTGATTTCCGATATATGTAGGTGAATATCTAAGTAATTTTTAATGTTGGATGTTTGATGATTAATATCTTACTAAATTCCTGCTTTATTAACCTGCAAATTTGTTTAGATTCTTGACACTTTAGATCCAGATGATGGAATGTGGTTAGTGAAGCATGTTTTCTCATCAAAGGTACTGCTGCAATACAAAACTGAATGGAAGGCCTTTTTATACATTAAACAAAAATTAAGACAAACTAAGTTGTAATGCACGTATGATTCTATCTGTACTGTTCTGAATGCATTGAACCGTTTTTCAATTACATCGAAAACCAGTAAAGTTGTAAAGTAATGCTTTGCTAAATCATCTGACATTTAACGGGATATCTAGTCTTCCAAATGGTGAGATACCTTTAGGTTTGGACGTGGGCTCCGTTTGCCATTGCTCGTAGGTGCTCAACCGTTCTGGCATATGTCTGCCAGCAGCAAATATCATTGGAGGAAGGAGCCCTGGTTGGTGAAGGGGGGCCGGGCAAAGTTGTTGTTGATGGGGGGTGGTATAAAGTTGTTGTTGAGGGGAGCTTGCATGAAGTTGTTGCTCAGGGGGGCGGTGAGGGGGGGCGGCTGCATATAGGTTGGGGGGGCGTGAGAGGGGCTGTTGGGGCTGGACTTGAGCTGGTTGATGGAAGGCGCCGGGGCGGATTTGGGCGATCTGGGTGCGAGTAGGTTGTCGACGTCGATGTTAATGGCGCCCCTCGTGTCCGCCCACGTGGCGCCCAGCTTGGCGGCCGGCTTGGCGCTGCTGGCTGGCGGCGGCTGATGCTGCTGGGCTGGCGCGATCGGCTGCAGCAGCCCCAACGAACCCTGGACTCCTGTCGGGCCAACTGTTGCTGTCGTGAGCGACGAGTGAAACAAGGCAGTAGACTACATCCACCTTCTAGGCGGCGGTGGTCAATGGGTCTTATCACTGAACGCCACCAATCAAATGGAGGTAGTGCTGTGCTAACTAGACAGTGTCGCTCCTTCGATCGCCTCACTCGCCATACGAAAGTTAAACATTTCCGAAGCTAAAGTTTCGACAACATAAAAGGTTTAACATGGGTTGTGGAAGATAGGAGAACAGTTTGCTTATACACCGGTGGTATTTCCCCGGATTGATCGGCTCATTTGTGTGTCAAAAGTGACATGGAATTATTAATCGAATCACTCATTAGGGTGTTAGTCAATTTTCTGACTGCATTTGATGTTTTCGCTACCCAAGGATAAAGAATAACTGGGTTACCAAAAAAGAATAAGGATGATAAAAGAACAACCACTTGAAGAACACTATTTAGGAAGTGGTACTTTCTTTGCTTTCATTAATGGTTGACATGAGTTGTAGCTATAGAGATATTTAATTCGCTATTTCGTTGTGGACTTTTCTTAAGTGTTTATGCAAGATTTAATTAAAATTTAAAAAGAACGAATTTATGCTTTAAAGTACTAATAATAATCTTTGAAGAGAAATATGTAAGTTCATATATCTTTGTGCAGCTCTAATGGTAATAATAATATAATTTTGAGTAAATGTTTTGTTTTTTTTCCTAAGCCTACCTTTTCAATTTTTATTTTTATTATCTTAAGCTCATTCAGTGCTAAATATACATTAATAATATTTAATAAAAAAATAGTAGTAGTAATAATTTAAATTGTTTATTGGTGAGTAATCTAATTGTTTCCAATAGGATATGCGCAAAAGGATTAAATATCGAGACAAACAAGTACATGTGATCATAAATCAGACTATGTTTAATTTGTTTAACTGTGATATCTTAGCTTTGATTATATCACTATGCCGATAGAAGTAAATCCACAGACATTGACAGACTTCACAATTTCAAACTTTGCGAGAAGCATTCGGCGACATCTATCGGGAATGAACGAACAAGACTGTACACAATTACACACACGTTTAATGAACACCAATACACATTACACGGTGGGCATCTACGTAAAATAACCATTTAGCGGGATCCCTCGACCGCCTCCGTCGACCGGCCGAGGCGGGTCGTCTTGAGTGGGCGGTTGGCCGCAGAAAGACATGGCATCCAATCGCTTATGGACTATCCGTTACTACAGATACGCGACAGGCGATCGATCCCTCGGGACTATTCAGAGTCGTCCGTAAGGATATTCTCGATTAGACGCAGCACTTGACCCGCGAACAGCGCCAGATCGGAGTTGGCCCCCACGTGGCCCAGTCTCTCGTCGAAATAGACCAGCCGGTCGACCAGCCAGGACCTGATCTCCATCAGCGGGCCGAAGAACTCGCTCCTCATCAGGCTCTCCGGCAGCACCAGCACCATCGAGGCGACTATCGAGATCACGCACATCTGGACCTTGAGCTCCGAGGAGTATCTCAAGTAGAGCACCATCGGCAGCGCTTCCCGGCAGTAGCTGGGGCACTTGGGGCAGTTCTTGGAGGCCAGGATGAGGTTTCCCACCACGGAGAGGTACTTGAGCAGCAGCGCGTTGTCCACGTCCTGCTTCAGGTTGTGCCGGCTCAGGGTCAGCTGCCGACGCCCGAAGCCGCCGATCAGGTGGTAGATGAAGTGGTCCGCCACGGCGGCGAAGCGGTTCCGCCTCGTCCTGGCGAAGGGGTGCTGCCGCCGCGAGTGGAAGTACCTAGTCTTGCTCACCAGACGCCTCCGCACCACCTCCTCGGCCGAGAGCTCCTCCTCAGGAGTGATCACCACCTCGTCGCGTTTCTTCTGCTCCGGCGGCGGGCGCAGGTCGGCGATGCGGCTGGCGGCCTCCGAGAGCACGTCCAGCATGAAGATCTTGGTCGCGATCGAGTATCGGCCCACGTCCGTGTGGATCTCCCTGCACAGATGCTCTGCGCACGCCGCCGGCTGGCTGCAGACCACCGCCACGGCCGCGTTGAACTTGAGGCCGTCGAAGTCCTCCACGTGGTACTTCTCCTCCAGATGGACGAACAGGTCGAGAAGGTCGATCGCCAGGCTCCTGTCCTCCAGGGCGAGGTGCGTGGCGACCAGCTGCTCGGCGCCGGCGAGCGCCGCCTCGAACGAGTCCAGGTCCTTGGCCTCGTTGAGCGCGTCCAGCAGGTCGCGCAGGTACATCGGCCGCTTCTTGGACGCGCTGGCCACGTCGTTGCTCATGTCGTACGGCTGCAGGTCGTCGTCGGAGTCCAGCACCTCGTCGGCGCCCGACTTGTCCAGGGCGTCCAGCTTGGCGGATATGATCGTCTTCACGATCGCCTTGGTCTGCTCCTGGCTCTTCACGGCGCACGTCACTATCGTGTTGTGCACCGGCTCGGACGCGTTGTCGACCACTTCGTACGCGATGCTGTCCAGCAGTTGGGTCAGGTTGGTCTTCTTGACCTTACTGTTGGGCACGTTGGGCCTCCGCGTGTCGTCGATCAAGCACCGGCGAGTCAGATCGCTGAGGATTTTGTGTATTTCCACGCACGTGGGCCCCATATCCTCGTAGTCGAAGCTCAGCTGCTCGGCGGCTTTCGGGTTCGCGTTGTCGATCTTGGCCACGGTCTTGAGCACCACCTCTATGGTGGCCATGCCGACGGCGCGGTGCTCCGGCGAGAGCAGCTCCAGGTGCTTGGACACCCCTTTGAAGAGGACCTTCTTCAGTTCGATCAGTGGCCAAGAGGCGCGCTTGGACAGCGCCAAGACGGTCCTGTACTTCACCGCCAGCACCAGCAGCTGCGAGGTGTACATCAGCTCGTCCAGACTCGACACGTTGGCCGCTTTTATGTCCGACCAGGCGCCCGCCAATTTCAACGCCAGGTCTGACAGCACCGTCGCGTTATTCTTAGTCGTCGACAGATAATATATGAGGTTCTCCACCGTCGCCGTCTCTTTGTAGCGGTCGGGCTTTACGCAGAACGGCACCCTGAAGCCGAGCACGTCGCTCCAGTCCTTGTTAACGTCGAAGCTGTCGCCCAGCACGCGCCTTATCGCCTGCTCCCCCTGCCTATAGTCTATGGGGCACCTCTTCAACAGACTCAGCGCCACGTTGTCTATGGCCTGGCGGTTCAGCCGCCTCATGAGGGTCTGCACCAGCCTGACCTTGACGAACCGGGCGCGGTCTTTGGCGTCCGCGCCGGGCCAGGCCACGAGGAAGTCGACCAGTTTGGACATGGCCTCGGTGCCGTTGTAGACGTTCACGAACTTGGAGACGAGGTGGGAGATCGGGCCCAGGTCGTAGTTGGCGCCGGCGCGGTGGCTGCTCTCCGCGGCGAAGTCCAGCGTGCGGACGATCTGGAACGCGAGGATGTGGGCGAAGCGGCCGTGCGAGAACTGCCTCGGCGTCCGGGTGGCGAGGCGGTTGGCCACCCTCTCGGGCAGGGTCGCCAGCAGCTGCACGTACTGGCGGAAGTGGGCCCCGCCCCCCTCTCCGCCCCCCGCTCCGACTGCGCAGCTGCCCACGACGGCGACGAACGCCGCGTCGCTCTTCGCGTACGCCAGCAGAATGGAGGCCAGCGCCGCCACCACCGCCGGCTCCGGCTCCTCCTTGAGGAAGCCGCACAGCGCGCTCAGGCACTCGTTGCTGACCTCGAAGCTCTCCTCGACCGTGAAGACCTCGACCATCTGCTGCCTCATCAGCGGCCAGCACGGCAGGCAGACCCTCACCAGGGCGGTCAGCGTCCTCGAGTGGAGGTCGATCAGGAACTCGTCCATGATGGCATCCTCGGCGTGGCACAGCTTGTGCACGGTAATCGGTCCTGGTAGGTTCTGCAGCACGTTGGCGAGGAGAGTCTTCACGTTGGCCGCCTCCGCTTCCGACTTGATCCGGCCGAGGGGGCGGAGCCCTACATTGAGGTGCTCCAGGGCGGCCGCCAAGCGTCTCTGGCTAAGGGTGGGCGCAGTCCCCTGCCCGACGCCTGCGAATACAAAAGCCTGAATGTGCCCAAAACTACATGAGGTACGTCACATCGTCGATATGGGTACTAAACGAGTACTAGCGGACATCACTAAATGGTATCGGTAATAAGGTTTACTTAGAAACTGATCACATGTATCCGTTTGTCTCGCGAACCGTAAACATTTTTTTCTCTTTTCAATGGACCTGTCTAAATATGTCAAATGGTGATGTTATTTTTATGATTTTTTTTGTTTATTATGACTTTAGTTAATAAAAACGCTTCAAATTCGTCAATAAATATCTGTTTTGGTCAGGCAAGTGCTGCAACTAGAGTAAATCTAGAAAATTCGCAAGTAGCATCCAAAAATAATATATAATAAATTCTCATCGTCATATAACTCAGTAACGGGTTAGGCGTAAGTTTAACGTTAGATTGGTGTAGAATTTATTAATAAATACTTGAATTTTATTTTATGGAGTAAAATCATTGTCAATCAATCAACTCTTCTTACCTTTTTAAGGAGAAGTCAAGCTATTTGAACATGTTTGGGCCTATTGCAAGAATTTTTTTTGTATGTGCTAATATTAAAAACATTTTGTCGTCAAGCAATTCAACAGATCAGTAATAAAGGTCATAGCAACATCTGGTCATTCTTAAAGTACTTAATATATAGTTGAAATATATACAATGCTTTATTATGTTGCAAACTTGAATACTCCTTATTTTCAGGGCAGCCATATTTAAATGAAAAATGTAAACTGTTTTATTGTTAATTCTTCTCAGTTTAAACTGATTCCAATCAATTATGTTTTATTTTACATGAATTACACATGACTTTGTTTAACTGAACTAACTGTCTTTGAAAATTGAGTACTAAATATCTACTCAGAGAGTATTAGTGTAGAAAATATTTTCTTTGTTGATTTGGAAAATATTCAACTTCAATTTTTATTATATTAAACTGCACTGTTGAGAAAGTGTTAAAATTGCAATTAACAATTTCATTGGTGTTGAAAAAGAACATTCCAGTATATTGAATTAAAAGAGAGCGTTCGAGCACAGAGCTATGATAGCCAGGTAACGTTGGAAGCCAATGAACCAGGAATGAAAGCGAAAGAATAAATTGGTAATTGTACCTTATGACATGCACCTGTAATCAGCATGTATAGTTTGGACCCCAGTACATAAACTCTACCAGTCGAATGTGAGCATACCCATTAGGGCCCTCAAGGGGAACTTTAGGTTTAACAAGCATTTAAACACTGTCGCCCTGCGACAGTCTACATAATGGGCTTTAAAACCCATTCTGTAGATTCTGTGGTGATGATGAGGAGGGACCGCTTCACATAATTTGTGAATACGATGCCCTGGTCAATATTAGGAGTCGGAAACTGGGAGGGCACAAGTTGGCAAATGAGGAAGCCCACATTATTAGCCCCTCATCGACTGTAAACTTCATTAGGGTTGTTGGTTTCGTTAAGGGTATATAGCTTCGAAGGGAAGACTACAATAGATCTTGTAGGTCACAGTGTTCCTTGGGATTCATTTAAAAAATCATAATCATGTACGGTTTTGGAAGATGTGAGGGTTGTTCAAGGATAGTGGACAGTCTCCATGGTGTGTGCCAATCGCTGAGGGTGACGGACTTGAGTGTACTACATATGTTAAGTAGACCAGTTGTCACTACAGCATATGTAACAAAGTTGTGGTTCATACCTGGCGACATGGGCTGCAGCGTCGTGGCGGAGAACTGGCCCGTCAAGGCGTCCAGGTCGCTGAGCCCCGACTGCGCAGTGCCGATCGGCGGCGGGCTGAGGTCGCTCAGAAGGTCCAGGTTCGATGCCGCCGCCGGCGGGACCACTGTGGAGCAGTCGAGAGATCACATAGTTTTTTTGAAATAACATTAATCGAACCAAATTAATGATGTTAAAATAAGATAGTAGTAAAACGTAAGCTTAGTTTGTGTAATAAAAAATTTAAGCTACGAACCATCTCAAAAAGGTTTTTTGCGTTCATCAGTCCAATCGTTTACAACCTACAATGCCACGAACAGACACACTTTCAAACTTATTAAGACCCCTCTTATTAAGTGTGGGGGGGGCCCAAGGGGGTGTAAAATAATGAACGGTGCAAGGCTTGCCGTTATTGTTGGTGGGCGGGGGCGTCGGTTCGGCGGAGAAGGCGCTGCTGAAGTCGGCGAAGCCCCCCTCCGGGGCTGCTGCGGCCGATGGGGCGGAGGGGCCGGGGGGGGCGAAGGCCTGCGAGAAGTCCCCGAACTCGGCCTGCGCCTCTTCAGCTCTGTGGACACAGTGGCTCTCCCGTTCAACCGACAATCAAATCCATTCATCGTCGGAGGAACACCGTCAGGGTACAATTCTCACGGGGAGATTAATTTAAAATTAAAGAACGAAGGTAAGGTTTCGTAAACATATTACTATAGATATCGAATAAATAACGCACTCTTAATGATAGATTGCAACTATCAAATATTTTACTTCAGTTCATTGTCCGGGCACTCACTTTTATTAACTTCAGTCGCTGAGATGATGGCACCAATAAAATTGTTCATTTTAAGTACTGACTTATCACATGCTCAGTCCTGACTAAACATGAATATTTTCGAAATAATAACAAAAGAAAGAATATTTCCAAGATACATAAGTCCGCCAATTCGCAGTGGAGTCGCGTGGTGGGTTATGCCATAATACCCTTTGTACAAAAGGTCTGTTACTTCACATTAAAAATGCTAATATTTATTCAGTATTTTCGATTATACTTAAATACTTTCTAGTTCATTCAAGTGAAATCTGAACAAAATAATTAATTTGAAAAAATTGAAGAAATACAAAAAAAATCATTAAATGGCATTTAGCTTAGTGGCGAAAGCGTCAGGCCGCGAATGCCGAAGACGTGGGTTTGATTCCCACAGCGGCAACAATCTTTCCGTACTTTTTCTACAAATTTTAACATAAGGTATGTTAGGCTATTTGTTTTCCTAGAAACAATTTTTTTAGACTTTTTGCTTTAACACTAAATTGGAATATACATATATATTTTATAACATAAGGAACCAGATATATATTGTTTTGCATGCACCAATAATTATAATGGAAAATCTTTCAAAGATATTTTTAAAAGAATGCCTTCATAAGAGAGTGAGTAAAATGAATAGCAATGACAAATCCTGTTCCATTTTTACAACAAATCAATGGATACTTAATTAGTTAGAGCGTATTCTCTTTACCTTGGGTCAAAGTCATCTTCTAGAACGAGCGAGGCGCTCCCAGAGGATGGAGCTGGACAGGTCTTGAACAGGTCGTCCAGCAGTTCATTAGAGTTGTTGTTCTGCGATTCTGGTGCACTGGGGGCCGCTTTGCCGTAGGACGCTGCCGCACCTGGAAAATGGGGAATAATATATTATACATCTTTTATCGTGTATGAAGAAAGATTAAATAAAACTCTTATTTGAATTGTATTTAAATTGTAAATTAAATTTTTATTTGTTCAAGATCAAAACAATCAGAAGAGTGCTGCACGAATGGGCAGGTCCGTCCTTCACAGAAGACCGGAGTAATGTGAAAGTGTTATACTTCTGCGTTTCATGTCACTACACTAGTGAGGTAACAGGAGCACACTTTATCGCTTCTGCAGCCGCTACGGGTTTTGCAAATGTCAATGGGCGGCAGTTGTCACTTAACATCAGGTGAACCGTTTGTTCTTCTTGTCTCTCTTTACCCTAGCTATTAAATCTTAATCCTCATGAGGTAGGTGGAGTAATTTATACTTTTCACTGAGTTGAATCATTTTAGATTATGACAACAAGAAGTTCATACAAAACTATAGATTTCAGTTTAGAAATATGCATTAATTTTTTCTGTCTCTTCCATTTTTTTTAAATAAAGTTCAACTAAAGTTGGCAAATTGCAGTTATAGATTTATTTACTTAACTGAACATGTTCAATACTTTTTCTATATAAAATTTTTAAAGATTATATACAACTACACTTGACAAAATTTTAAATCGCAATTCTGTATATATAGACATTCCGTAACTCATATAACTACTTTTACGATGTATTTTGCGTCAGTGATTTTCATGTTTATTACAACTTTTAGAAGTTAAAATTAAAAGTTATGTGATAAAAATGAAAATTTCACTTTAAAGATAATTAAAACAGAAGACCGCTAGAGGGGAAAAGAAGAAGACATACCGAGGTCGATCTTCTTGACGGGCGTGTTGGGTTTGCTCTTGGCTGGGGTGCGGAGGCTGATGTTTAGAGGCTTGGCGGGGGTTGGCGCGGGGGCGGAGGCCGGCGCTTCGCCCCTAGGGCTGCGTTCTACCACCTCCGCGTCACGGTACACGTTCTCCCTGCAACAGAAATCAAAACAGATGTAATAAAGGTTAATATATACAATACAAAAATAATATATACAAACAAACATACACAAACAAGCGACGGTCAAAATTTTTGCATATGAGAAATGAAAATGAAAAAAATAATTAATTCATTCCATATATCATTGTATTCTAATAGATAGTGTCGTTAAGTTTTGGGAATTCAATAAAAACAAGTTATAATTATATATGCTATAACTATGAAAGCTTTTGTAGATATATCGAAGCATTACTTGTGCGGTTTTCTATGACCGTACTCGCCGTCCGAATCTTCGCGCTCGTATTCGTCATCATCATTGCGCTCCTTCACGTCGTCTGTAAAAGAAACACATACAGAATTGTCACCTAGAGATGCAAATTAGCCACTAAGGTCAGTAACGTACATTACATATAGTAACACTTTACATCAACTGGATGGTAAATCATGTTTTTTTTATGTGAGAGTGTGGCAAACGAGCTGGTGGTTCACTTGTTGTTAAAACTGCCCATTGACATTTGCAACAGCCGTATGGTACAGAATCGTTGCCACCTTTAAAGTGGGCCTTGGCTACCTCACTCGCCTAACGCAGAAGCGTAAGACTTCTTCTTTACGCCGGTCTTCTGTGAGGTTTTGTGGTACTAACCTGGAGGAACCTCCCCATTTGTGCAACAGTGAACACTGTTGCGTGAGACCATACCGCAGTTAATCCGAATTTAGGTTAGGCCGAATTGACCATATACAGCGTGTAGTCACTACCGCGACAATAAATGAACACACGTCTAACGTTACTTGCCAATAATCATAAAAAAATATGAACGTTAAAAAAATCCATAATGAAAAAGAAATGTTTCAAAGAAACAAAATTTGTAACATACTGTACAACTACAACTGACTGATTCATACATTCAGAGACTTTTTCATTCGTTGCCACAGCGTCGCATCACAAGCCTCTCCTTCTAACAGTATGTTTTGCGTCTTTTAAATTCATTCAACCCATTCATATGCTTCGTGACCTTTACAAATAAACTTTACATTACAGTTTTATACGTAAGGATGTTCTAAAATTGTTTGTTTTGGAAAATTTTATAACTCTGTAAATATAACTCTGTAAGAATGTATATGTTAAATACAATTTTAAAAAGTTATCCTCTATATGTGTGTTCATTTATTGTCGCGATTGTAAAGACACGCTATATTTGCCACACTGACCCCAGCCTGGCGCCGCTCGATCGCTGTACTCTCCCCAGCCTCCCCCTCCCCCTGCCCCCCCGCCTCCGCCGCCTCCCCCTCCCCCGCGCACACCCATCACGGACGCCTCCGAAGACATGCCTGCAAACACGAAAAAAACTGATTATTGACCTAATTTAATACAAACACATTTGTTGAGGTTATCATGATTCCGTACCCAAAGGGTAAAACGGGACCCTATTACTAAGACTCCGCTGTCCGCCTGTCACCAGGCTGTATCTCATGAACCGTGATAGTTAGACAGCTGAAATTTTCAAAGATGTCATATGTCCATAATAACTTACAAAGTACGATCCATTTTAGGGACATTCCTAAGATTTGCAACAAAGTTCCTTTTTCTGCTTGCACTTGTTGAACAAGTGCTATAAAATGGTATTTGTGTCTGTGTGCTTACAAACGCATGTAAATTTGAAATTGCGTAATCATTGTTTATAATTAGTTAATACATATTATTACACATAATTATTACATATATTATAACATATCATATCTAAATATGGTGATAACAAACATCATTCATCATTTATTTGTTTTGTAAAATTTTTTTATAGTGAATGCAAGAAAATTTATGTCACATAAAGTGTTATTAGTTTAATAGTGAAAATAGTTTGATAATACAACTAGAAATAGTTATTTTTTATTCTTACAAAATAGTGATGAATTCGTAAAGGGAAACTAATTAAATAAATAAAACAGAACTGTAGTAATGTGTATTCACCTTTTGTAAGAATGTGCAAAGAATTTAATATACTTTTTAACCGTGCTGAATATATCGATATTTTTAACGATTCCCCTTATGTTTACAAAAAGAAAGTACTGGAGTCATTTCATTAGTATATATTATAGTATAGTATTCTTCAGAGTGATTTTTTTTTTAATTTATTTTTGATTATTTATTGTTAGTCTATTCTTTGTATTTAATTGTTTATGAATTAGTTTTTTTTTTGTTTACTAAACTTTGTCACAATATTGTAAATGATGTACACACCTGTTATAGGTGTACATATTAGGTCCAGTTTCTTTTTTAAAATTTTTCTTTTTTTTGTAAGTTGTCTAAATATGTATACTGTTGGTGTGTCTTTGATGAAATAAAAAAAAAAAAAAAAATAATGTTATCATATAAGAAAAAGAAAAACTGTGTTGCTTAAGTAATGTATTGATAAGAGTTGTTAATGAGTTCAAAAGCCGTAACAATTGAGGTGAGTGAAATATATTATCTGTCTCTCTCTCAGTTTAAAAAACAACTTTTATTTACTTCTCATGCCCTTGTTAGTCTATCTGTTTTTATTTATTTTAATATGATGACTCCAGGGCACAGTTCTCTTGTCAGCGGTGAAGATAAACATTGCGAGGAAACCTGCAGATATTCTAAATAATAACAACTACTGAATAACTATGATACATTATTTTTAGTTATTATTTGTGTGATAAATCGGCACTTAAAACTAACAAATTGGTTGGTGCTGACACTGGTATTCAAACTCGGGTTACTCAAGTACATTGAAATTAAAGACACCGAGCTATCGCGGCTCTAAAGAGCACTAACCGATATATTTGTCCTTGTTCTTCTTTGCCTTCTTCCTCTCCTCGCGGAGTTTCTCGTCGTCCTGTATGAAGTCGATCAGCTCGCGCACCTTGTGCCTTACGTTGATGCCCTGGAAGATTATCAGACCATCGGTGAACATATAGTGGAATATTTGCTTCCAAACTAAAAACAAACAGACAAGGAAGTGACGCTATGAAGGTTCCAGTTTTCCTTGTGGTGTGGAAGTGTAATAATTAATTTAAATAATAATGTATACATCATTGGTTAAATTAGCAGAAAATATATTTACGAGTTTATTTAATGAATTCCTCTTGTTCCATATAAGATTGGATTCACATTATATTTACACTCCCACTTTACCAAACAGAAACTAAACAGGAACAAAAAGTTGGGGAAATAACATTTTGTGTACGGATTCATCCATCAATATCATTTTGAGTTACAACTCAGGACTCTCAAGATATGAGAAACATTGATCTTGTGCTAGGATATTCTCAGTACACCGGTGCGTTACGCAGGAGATCCCGGAGTCCCTCCAAACGTACAGAAGGTGGCCACCGAGGGGGTTTTAGTGGGTACAAACCCCATATAACCATGACAGGGTTTGGGGTAACAAGGATACTCTCAGTAGCAGTTATATTACAGTATTTTCTTTATGTCAATATGAGCAAATATATTTAATATCCACATCTCTATTGTTTTTTTTATTTCCAGCACAGATTTCACCCTTTATCTGGAAGTTCACATATTACATTTAGGACGATTTTAAAATGTCTTAAAACTGAGGAACGATTGTATGGTATCGGTGCATTTTGACCATTGCCCTTATATTTTTTATTTAAAGATTACCAAATTAGTGATCCTTTGGTGCTTGGTGCTATAATATGGCAATGCAATAAATTTATTTAACATTTGTAGTAGCGGTGTTGCCATAACAAAATAGTTTTCAGTCTATGCTGTTGAGAGTGCATGTAAGTCTGTTGAAAAATTAAAACATTATCTTCGGATAAAGACTTTTATTTTTCACAACTTTTGGCCACTCACCTGGTCCTTGCCCAGGTCGTCGACGTACGTGTAGTTCTCGAGTGATCGAAGGTCGTAGATATGCTCCCTGGCCGACGTGACCACCCGCTCGGAGCCGTTGCGCACCAGGTAGCTGAGCAGCAGCAGGCACTGGCAAAGGAGGCAGCCTTTAGTCTTTTCGCATTTTGTTTGGACGGGGTTATGTAATACTACTAAAACGACCTTTGCGACCTGGAAGATCTATTGTAGTCTTCCCTTTGAAAACATTGCAAGCTGTTGGATAAAATTAAGCACCACTACATCACAGAAGACCGACGTGAAGTCGAAGTGTTATACTTCTGCATTTTGTCTGGCGAGTGAGGCAGCCAGGGCCCAGCCAGATGGGCGGGCTTTAGAAGGCAAGATTCACCCTTTTCGCTACACCTGTCGAGCCAGATGGGCGGGCTTTAGAAGGCAAGATTCACCCTTTTCGCTACACCTGTCGAGCCAGATGGGCGGGCTTTAGAAGGCAAGGTTCACCCTTTTCGCTACACCTGTCGAGCCAGATGGGCGGGCTTTAGAAGGCAAGGTTCATCCTTTTCGCTACACCTGTCGAGCCAGATGGGCTGGCGTTAGAAGGCAAGGTTCACGCTTTCCGCTTTATCTGACTCAGCCCAGCCGGGTGGGCTGGCTATAGAAGGTAAGCTAAATAAAAAAAAGCCCGTTGAGTACCTTTCGTCGGTTCTTCTCAGTACAGTTTTTTATGTGAAAAGTTGCCAAGCGAGCAGGCGGTTCACCTGATGTTAAGAGAATACCGTCGCCCATGGACTTTGCTACACCCGAGGGTTTCAGTTGCTTTTGAAAAATGTACTCCGGCTACCTCACTCAGCAGACGAAACGCGAAAGTATTATATTTCCACTTGACGCCGGTCTTCTGTGAGCTCGTGGTACTTACCCGGACGAGCCTGACCGTTCTTGCAACGGCCGAGGCTGCTGGGTGGCAACGGCTGTCTTTTCCGAACCGGTGGTAGTATCTTGACTATCAATAAGCGAGTGCAATTTTTTCTTTGTTTAAAAACATTGCCATTACTTTAGGATAACATTATCCTGTGTTGTAATGACGTTTTACAAACATAAACTTCACGCAGACAAACACCCAGATGCGAAACAACTATCTGTGGGCCACACAAATAGTTGTCCCGTGTGGGAATCGAACCCACGACCCCTGACGCCGAAGCCCATGCCTTGGCAACTGCGCCACGGAGTCATCAAATATGCAATATGCAATATTCTTATGTTGAATAGAGACATTTGATTTGGTCCGAAGCCCCGCCCACCTTGTACGTGCGCCGCCAGTGGGACCTGTTGTCGTGCAGCATCCGCCGCCACAGCATCGACATCACCTCCGGGAAGTGCTCGTAGGTGAACGTGGCGAGCGCCAGCTCCTGCATCTGCTGGCCAGTGGGGCCCCACGCCTCGTCGGAGGTCGCCTCCCGAACCTTACCTTCGACCTCCGTGTAGTTCATCACGACGTTGGTTCTGGAAGGACCATATCATTATATATTCATTTATTTATCACAGAATCTACACAGCTCGTTAGGCATCTATTTATTACGTGGTGATTTTTCGTAACGAAGGAATTTCTAATGGTGCGGTATGTGTATACCAGGATCAGAACATAATAGCTCGTTTTCAAAACCGGCCAAGTGCGAGTCGGACTCGCGCACGAAGGGCTCCGTTTATAAATAAAAACGGCAAAAGAATCATGTCTATTGTATAATATGGTGTATAATATGTGGTAGCCCCACTTAAATATATTTTTATTCTGTCTTTTGTTATTTGTTGTTATAGACGCAACAGAAGTACATTCTGTGCAAATTTGAACTGTCTCACTATCACGGTTCATTTGATACAGCCTGGTGACAGACGAACGGACAGACAGCGGATTTAGTCTTCTTTTGCAGTCTATTTTAGTCTTATTTTTAACCCTAAAAATGTTTATTTAACAGTAGGGGGGACATTGGTGGCCAAGTTGTTGGGTTTGGGGTTTAAGGTCGCGACTTCGAACCTCATTGCCGAATTTCAGATTTATCACAAAGCTTTCATTTACCACGTTTCCCACAAACGGCAGAGATTCAATTAGCGATTAGTCAGCATCGAATTAATTTATTGGCCTAGTGGAGTCCAGGACTTAGCGACAAGTAAACGCTCGGTAAATATTAACTAGTGTCTCTGAGTGCAGCTAATGGATATTATGAAACAGGTACAGTATTAGCAATCCTTCGTCAGGGCAAAGAGACGCGAGATTCTTTGTTATTGTGTTATTTATTGCGCATGTAAGTCTATAAATTGCTGGATAACAAATTCGCATTGGGCCCAATCTGCGGATGAATGGCGTCAGTGTTTATTTATATATTTCAAGAAAAACAAACATGTTGACATGCATTGAATGTTTACGAAAAACGAAGCGTTAATATAACGACTAAAGACTAAAAAAAAAAAAATACCCGGTAACTAGAATTGTGGTGGTAGTCGGCTGTTGCGCGAATGGGCAGGCTCGTCCGGCCAAGTACCACGACCTCACAGAAGACCGGCGTAAAGTGGAAGTATAATACGTTCGCGTTTCGTCTGGTGAGTGAGGTGGCCGGAGCCCAATTTTCAAAAGGTTGTCGACGCATCTGTAACCCTCGGGTGTAGCAGATGTCCATGGGCGGCGGTATTCAGTTGGCATCGGGTGAACCGTCTGCTCGCTTGGCAATTTTTCACATAAAAAAAAGGCATTTTTTTCTTTATAAATTATTCTATTTATATGCTACATCCACAAGGGTTTCTGTCAAAAAACTCGTACGGTTCGGTAAATTGTTTTACTGAATTTACTTTCTGCACGTCCTGGCACTTAATGTAGTAAATTTAAGCGTACAGAATTGATCGTTCGAATCGAGGTAAACACAAACAGGGCGAGTAATTAAAGTCGAATTAATGGACGATAAACATTCTATTTATACGACGAATTAATTGCGCGGAGTAGTGGATATCTGTACATGAATGTGTGAGAAAACGTTTTACGCATTTATAAGTACGAATAAATGTTCCATTGGTACTTTGAAGTGATACACAGACGGAGCCGTGTTCGAATCGAAATCGCTAACATAGAACAGATCTCCTAACGCCCAACACCCGAGTTGCAAAGAACTGATCAACATAGTATATGATAGCTGAGTGTCCGGGAGCTCGCTGTTAATTCAATATACTCAAGAACCGGAGTTCAATCCCCGACGCCAGCATCAAAAAAATTGTCAATTTCAAGTGCTCAATTATCACGTGCTCAGCGCGTATTTCAGAAATAATGATAAAAAAAGGAAAACCGGCCAAGTGCGAGTTGGACTCGCGCACGAAGGCTTCCGTACCATTATCTATAAAAACCGCAAGAAAAAAAGTCTGTTGTATGGGAGCCGACTTAAATAGTTTTATTTTATTCTGTTTTTTAAGTATTTATTGTTATAGCGGCAACAGAAATACATCATATGTGAAAATTTCAAGTATCTAACTATCACGGTTCATGACGGACAGACAGACAAACAGACAGCGAAGTCTTAGCATTAAAGTCCCGTTTTACGGAACCCTAAAAAACATATTGATACCAACCCGCAGAATGTGGACTATGCTCTTATGTTAGTCACATTGCGGATCCGCTGAAATTACCCTTTCTGGGTAATCCAAATATAGTCGAATAAATCGATCGAGTTGCATATTTTACTACCCATGTCGCGTTACCGGTTAGATCAAACGCAGTGAAACATGGCCATAATTATAATACACATTTCACGGTGGTAGGGCCACGCAGCAGCCTCGGCTGTTGCATGAATGGACAGGCACAGCAGACCGGCATAAAGTGGAAGTTTAATACTTTGGTGTTTCGTCTGGTGAGTGAGGTGGCCGGAGCCCCATTTTCAAAAAGTTGTCAACGCATCTGCAGCCCTCGGGTGTAGCAGATGTCCATGGGCGGCTGTATTCACTTACCATCGGGTCAACCGTCTGCTCGCTTGGCAACTTTTCACATAAAATAAATGCGGCAGTACGAGTAGTCACTTTACATTTACAGTCAACCCACTTGCTCGCTTACTGCTGTCAACTCTCAGCTTTTCGCCCGCGGCTTCGCTCGCGTTGAAGTCCTTAAATATTTTTTTTTAATTCAGTTAAAGTTTTTTATAGTGCTAATCTCTGCACTTAATATTGAACATTAAAACATGTAGAAAAAGTAGGAAAAGATTGTCGCCGCTGTGGAAATCGAACCCACGTCTATGGCATTCGCGGCCTGACGCTCTAGCCACTGAACTCTCTACCCACGATCACCGACAGACTTTCTTTCCTAGCTAACATCTCATTAACACTTCCAATCCGCCTCCGCTACTTTGCCTGCCGCGTGAGGGAAATGTGCTTAAACTATATAATTATGCGTTCAGAACCGTGACCGGTTTCCGCTTTGGAAACGTGGTTTATAACGCTTATGGCATTTGGCAATTCACGCCAAGCGATGTGTCGAATTGAACGTCGAATTGTGCAACTCGGCGTCGATCTTTAGAGAGAGGTTAATCGCAAGGTCGACGTGTGAATGAATTTAAGAAACGAGAACGGTAAGAAATGTGGTGGTGGCGAGGGCACCGGTTGAGCACGTGATAATTCAACACTTAAAATTAACAATTTCATTGGCTCTGGCACCGGGAATTGAACTCGGGACGTTGCTCGAGTAAATTGGATTTAATAAACCGGCCAAGTGCGAGTCGGATACCGTAGCGTTATCTTTAAAAACTGCAAATAATCACATCTGTTGTATGGAAGCCCCATATAAATATCTTTTTAATATGTTTTTTACGTATTTGTTGTTATAGCGGCAACAGAAATACACCATCCGTGAAAATTTCAACTATCTTATTACTATCACGGTTCTTGAGATACAGTCTGGTGACAGACGGACAGATAGACAGCGGAGTCTTAGTAATAGGGTCCCGTTTTACCCTTAGGATGCGGAACCATTAAAACGAGCGCACGGACGCTGAGCTATCGCGGCTTATTGATTAACGGTGTCCCTTAATAGAATTCTGCCGATGTCGGTCATGGGCGTTGAGAAGTCTGTTGTATACCGAAACGCGAGGACTTAGAGACGCACGATCCATGAATAAAATATCGCCAAATGTTTTCGGGAATTCCCCCGCGGATCCCCAAGAACATATACAAGACACATATTGCCGTTACGCCCGGGTTGTTTATTAATGCACGCGGAAATTTCGGGATAACGGAGCTAAAATATTCATGTATAAAATTGTTTACAAAAAAAATTGTTTGTAAAAATTTTAAATTTGTAGAAAAAAGTACGAAAAGTTTTTCGTCGCTGTGGCATTTGAACCCGCGTCTTCGGTATTCACACCCTGACGCTTTAGCCACTAAGCTAAACGGGCTGATTGCCACACCGACGAAAATCTCGTCTTTTATCTACATTGTTTTTTTTTAGCATTAAAAATTGCTTCATATTTTTAATCTTAAGAGACTTAAGAGAATCTTAAGAGATCTGCAGAGATTAGCACTATAAAAATTTAAGTTTCTAAAAAAAATCGAATCCTATATTAGTATAGACTTTGACTATATTAGTATAGAGTTTAAATAAACATTATTTTCTCTAATTATTTGCCGGTTCACTGGTAGAGAACACCTAATGGTGTTAAGTCCATCATTGTACGTGTCATGAGCATAAAGTTTTAAATAAATGAATTGGTTCACTCAGAGGCTCGTATTGAATACAAATTTATTGATTAATAAATTCTGGCTGGCACAAAATTCGAGTAGATCAACGTGAGCTCGAACCGATGTTGTGAAAGAAAATCCGTATCTGGCAGTGCGAACGTACCCAGCTGATAAAACAATGTCATTATCTCGGTTATCTATTTAAAGCCAGGTAATACAACAAAATCCTTCTTCGGGCTGCAATTGTAGAAAGCGTGTACACAGCGCAAGGTCGTATGGCTGCTCTTAACAGCTACAAACTAACATAGACCCACATACTTATCAATGTGAGCCGTGATAGCTCAGTGTACGGGCGCTCGCCTTTAATTTAATATACTCGAGCATCCTGAGTTCGGTCCCCGGTGCCGGCAACAATGAAATTGTCAATTTTAAGTGCTGATCTATCACGTGTTAGCGATGAAGGAAAACATATTGAGAAAAGAGAATTTAGTTAGCCCGCATGTTTTCGAAATAATAACAAAAAATATTCCGAAGATATGAGAAGTCCGTCAATCTGCAGAGGGGATGCGTGGTGGAACATAATACCCTAATACCTTCTGTACAGAGGAGGCTGTTGTCCAGTAGTGGGAACTGGGATATGTATCGGCTGTTACTTTACTTTTACATATTGATAAAAGTGAACATAACAGACACTTCCAGTCAGTGGATCTAATGACGGAATTTTATTAAAATTTTAATCTTTTTTATTTTTAAATATAACGCTTGTACTATGGGTAATAGAAAAATGTTTAGACATACAATTTTAAACATACTTTTCTTTTGTAAATAAATACACATTATACACGCTGTATATAAACACCCAGACATTAGAAAAACACTATGCTCATCACACAATCTGGCGCAGAAGGCAGGTACATTACCCACTACGCCGTTCGGGTCGTCAAATTGACTTCAGAACATTCATTACAAATATTTACATTTATAATTATCTTCTAAGCCCTACTAATATTGAAATATTATGTAATTGAAAATCTAGGATTCTTTCTTTAAAACATTATAATGTGCACTGAAATCCATTTTCACTTCAGAACCTATTTGAGTTTGAGACAAACTTCTTAAGATACAAAAAATCTAAAAACTTTCATGGCATCTTATGAATAGAAGATATTGCCTGAATGTTGGTACTTATTTTGAATTATATTATGTGTGTAGACAAAGATATAGATATTATTTGTAAATAGATTGAAGGGCATTTACAAAAAACTGTGAACTTTTATAAGAGTAAATTTTTTATCCATTAAATTTCCATTAGTTTTAATGGAAGTCTGTACTTAAATAAATTTGGACATATTCTAGAAAAACGAGGTCACATTCTTTTATCTAATCAGAAATAAAGTACGAGTTAAAGAGATTAGGACCCTTTCGTTAAACTTTTTTTTATGTGAGATGGTGGCAAGTAAGCTATGCCCAATCAATCAATAGCAATCTATGTCCTTCCACTCTATCGCAACAACAAATCTAAGGATATCAATATTCGTAGATGCTTAATCTATATCCTTCGATTATCCAATAAGAGCATTCTTTAATGAATTCAGAAATAGGCAATGTATGTATAAAAATTTGGATTTGTGTTTAAATTTGTTTAACTTTAAACAAATGAAAATAATAGTCATGAAACATTTTACAAAGTTAACATATTTATATAATATCATTTATATTAATGTGTTAACAATACAAAATTTGAAACTTTACATTCATAATAAGTTATAATAAAGGTCATAATAAAAGAAAAATATGGACAAAATAAGATTGACAAATAGAACCATTTGGTTTTAAAATGAATCTTTAGGTCCATGGGGTCTCCGCACATCAAATTGTTTTAAAAGTTTATGTCCTAGGCTTAACGGCTGGTGACAAGAGAGCTGGTTCTTTTCTCGCTCAATGGTTAAGCGTAACTTTTCAGCATGGAAATGCAGCTTGCGTTCTTGGCACCATGCCATGTGGATTAGGTTTATTGGATAATATGTAATTTTAAATAGATTTAATATTTATTTATTGTAAACATTAGATCAACAAACTGTATGAAATGAAATCTTATATTACAATAAATTGTATCCATAATCTAATCAATGTTACTTGAGACATAAAATATAAAAAACAAATCATTGATAAGAAATACATTTATCTAATGGAACAATCTATTTAGCTTGGTTTAATTATGAGGGAATAAAAAGTCAACAAGTTCTTTCTTCTTGTTTAATGAAAACTGTATGTTAAAATCAGGCTAAAATACAGACAAGAGTTTTTGTTCTTTTAATTTTGTATAAACTAACATATATCTAATTTTGCAAAAATATGTTTCAAATCCAGCGATATAGCGCCTTGATTTTATGGAAAATACGAAAAAGTTTAAAAAGAGGCCCTTTATGGATATATGCATAGTTTACAAATATGCATATATTCTTTATTATTTATTAATTCTATATAATATAATAAATTTACAAAAGGTGTTTATAAAAAATAAGATTAGTTAAAGTATGTGCAACTTGCATATAATTATATGCTGGTATGATGACTTGATTATTTGTATTTAATAAAATTCTACAACTCCTACTTCATATATTTTTCATCATGGTACTATAAAATTCTAAAAGCCTAAATAGTTAACCGCAAAGAAAATTTGTATTCACAAATGAAATAAAGTATATAGAAGATAATTTCGCAATTTCTATTCACTGATATGCAATTAAAATTAGTACCTAAATCTAATCACAATTTTCGAAGTTAACTTGAGACTACAGTATGACATATGAAAATACTTGAACTAACATGTTCTATGTAGGGATGAGGCGTATATACTGGCACAGGTATAAATACCCAGTATGAACATACCAGTACGCACACCAGGTATGTACGGCAGAGGCCCGTTCCATACCCGATAGGTATGGCTTGGGTATGGCCGCCTCATCCGACGGTGGCGGTATATAACGCTCGCGAGAACCCGCCGGCCGAATAGCTACGAAGATCCCCGAATGTTTACAGCGGCTCTTCCCGATCATGCCCGAATTGAAACATATGATTTAGGCATTTTATACCAAATAATTCCTTGAGATAAATTTATTCTTTATTTCTTTGACAATTAGGTAGATAAATAATTGCGTAATAAGATTAAACAGTAATATTTATTTTGAATTACTTTTTTTTGATAATAGGGTTCTTTACGTTAGTAAAGATGGAGCTTATTTTAGACTGATTAAATCTCAATTTAAAAACTGATTGTTAAAAAAAACATCTAAATGTTCCAATTCCAACCAAAGGTTCAATTCGTTTGATTCGACCGAGTCTCCAAAAGGAGGCCTGAACATAACTAATACCTATAGGTATTTTGATACTGGGTTTTAGCACCGGGTATACGGCGATACCCGTACTTTTGAGGCCGGGTAAAGAATGTTGCAGGTATATTTCATGCCTAGTTCTATGCCACTAGCACTGGAATAACTTAAGAGTGCTACTGAATGTGTTAAACAACTTTTCATATGTGAAACATTGGAAAACAATAGAAAAACAATCATTTAACGAGACATTGTTATTGTTATTGTGTAGCATATTTATGTATTTTTAAGTGGAAATGTCCCCAAACTAATGCATATGTTAGTTAAAACTGTTTACGTCAAAAATCGAAACATATGGGAAATAATTGTTGCTTGTTAAAGGTAATTATCCAAGGGCAGTAGTCTGCTGATAAGTTATTTACACAAATGTACTTGAAATATAATTTAAGAAACAGAAACAAATTTTAATCAAAAGTTAGTAGACTGAAATACGTAAAATAGTAAAACAACACTAACAAAGTGAAAATTTAAGCCGATAATGCCTCATGACACAACACCATTAGAGAACTAATTCGTTAATTACCCTAAAATACACTTAATTCATTAACTTACTGAGGCAGAAGGATGTAATTTACATAAAACTTTAGTAAAATGTTTCAATTACTTACACTTTATCCGCCAGCTCTCTCACTTTCCACATACTTATAAATCGATCCATTTTGCACCAGAATCAACGTGTGTTATTTAGAAACTAAAATTCACTGCAATTTTATGTAAAATAACATAAAAATTAGCTTAAAAAGCGATCTGATGATTTGGCTGACATTATTGCAAAATGGCGACAGTGTTGCCATATAAAACAATAGAGTAAATGGTTTACGTGAAACAAAGTGTGCTAGACTTCAAAACAGAAAAGCGCTACATTGAGCGAGAACTACGAAATTAGAAATATCAATATCACTGACTAGATAACTTAATTTATAAGTTGAACTTGCTTGGAGTGATAGACAGTCTCGTTAAATCATACGAAAATAGTTTTCAAAACAAAAGTTTCTCTAGGATCATTCCTTTCTTTAATTTTATCTAAGCATAATTAGATACTAATAGGTAACAGACTGGTTAAAATTACAATATTTAACTGTACTTTTTTCAAATGTTTGCTAAAATTGTTATTATTAATGTCTTTGACATTCTTTGAGCTTTGTCGTAATTGGTCTACGTCTGTATAGCCGTCATAAATATAACGTGGGTCTTTTTTAGGGTTCCGTACCCAAAGGGTAAAACGGGATCCTATTACTAAAACGCTGTCTGTCTGTCTATCACCAGGCTGTGTCTCATGAGCCATGATAATTAACCCTAGATGCATAAGGACAAACTTACTACGCCATTGTTTCGTCTACAAAAAGTAAATAAGTCGTTCATGGGGCAAAGTGTACGCATGTATAATAAAATCCCACAGTCGATATTAAGTCTGCCGCTTGACCATTTAAATGTAAAATTAAAAATCAACTGATGATTAAAGCATATTATACCATTTCGGAATATCTCGACGACGCCAATGTGTGGAGTTAATACTGTTGATACTCACGTAGGCTAGAATAAGACTATTATACCTGTATATTATATTGTACCCTGATATTTTTGAAAAAGAGCAACTGTTGAGTTTCTTGCCGGTCTCTTCTCAACAGAAACCGCTTTCCGAACCGGTGGTACCTTACGAACCTATACACATAATCTTTGATGTAAAATTTGACGATTCATTCTTATGAAGCGCGCAAGCGTCTATTTAAATAAATATATTTTGATTTTGATTTTGATTTTGATAACGTTATTTAGTAACATTAATCACATAACGTGAGGTCAATATGACTCACACCTGTTTTCATCGATAAGGAACCGTCTTTTTGTTTTTACGATGTCTTTATTAACATAATAGTTTATTGAAATTATATTTAAAAATTAAATATTAAGAATTATACTTATTTTATCTTACAATTAATCAAAAACTATGTTCTTCGGAATAATGAGAGTAAACTGAACATAACTTCTAGCTTCATTAAAAAAATTACGTTATTCCTTAAAATACTTTTTTTAATATATAATCTCAAATATACAATGTCTAACAGTATTACATAAACTATTATCACTCTCATAATAAGATCTATGCGCAGCCTGAACACGTCAGTAATTTTTGTTCTCCACATACAGGTTTTTTACATTACATATCAAATAATTCCATGGACGTTAGATGATAAATCTTCATCACAGCTGTTAACGTTAGCAATCCTATCAAAGCTCTAATCTCGTCAGAGGAAGTGTCCCTGAATGTTGCAGACGAATCACTTGAGCTCAAGGGCGGATCCAGCTTTGGTGCCGGGGGGGGGGGGGGGTGTCACGTAGTCGTGGTCAAGTGATAAGAAGTTAAAGTTAAATTTTTATAATCATAGATACAAGTAAAAAGTAGGAACTTATTTTTAACCGACTTCAAAAAGAAGGAGGTTATCAATTCGGTTGCTTATATTTTTTTTATGTAGGTATGTTCGTGCATACCTTCGTCATATATAGACGGATTTACAAAATTCTTTTTTGTTCGTAACATTTCGTTGCTTCTTATCATATATTATACAGGGTGGCATTTATAAAGGTGCCAAAATTCACACAGGAGGTTCAGACTCGGTAGTATAATCGTTTATTGAAATAAAAACAAACTTCTTTTTTTAATTTGGCATTCTATTCTATTCCCTAAAAACAAACTTGTTGACAGTGAGGTAGTCATTCATAAATGCGTCGTATACTTTTGAAACGAACTTGTGTGTATAAATGATCACGCGTAAAATAAACGTGTTGCCCATAAATCACGCACTTTCTGAGATAAGTTCAAATGAATGTAATTAATTAATTACGAATGATTTTAAATATTTATCATTTTTTATATAACTTTATTTATGTTTAGAATTTAATAAAAAAAATGGATGCACTTAGAAAAGCCACCTTGTATCGTATTTTTTTATGTAGCTATTGGTAGGCTTACTTATTTTTGGAATTTCTTCGTTACCAGATTTTATGTAGTCGTATTGGTTATAATATTCTCTATTCCTCTACTCCACACGCTGGCTCCACTTCAATGACAAGTAGCCTAAGACGGGGACTATCGGGACACGGGTTAATAATAAAATATAATCAACCCAGATGAAAACTCCTAAAATAGCAGTACACCAAATAAAATTACATCGTCCCCATTAAAAAAATGTTCATAATTAACAAAAATTCATTCATTCATTCATTCATTCATAATATTAAACGCTTCTAATCCATCTAATCAAAGACAGAATCTACATTCATAAGAAACGGAACGAACAAACTTTATTTCCCAAGATAGTCTCGCATACTCACGTCCACTAAACCACCACATCACCCATCAAAAACGGTCCACCCGTTAAGACGAATCAAACACGACGCAGTTGTGTTCCTTAATTACTGAGTAGGAACTCAGTAATTAAGGAACACACACCAGCCACATTCCAGCTCTGTCATCAGACACTGGTTACCATCTAGCACCAAAGAACTCGTCGTGACGAATTAAACGAGCCGAGACGCAATAGGGTGGCGTCGTTTCTTTACTGAGTTCATATGGCTATCTTCCAGCTCCATCATCAGATCAGACCCTGGTAACCATCTAAAAATTAAGACGAATCAACCGAGCCGAAACTCGATGGGGTTGAGTCGTTTCATTACAGAGTAGTCATAGGAACCTCCCAGAATAGCCTCATAGACCTCACAGAAGATCGGCGTAAAGTACTTCTGCTATTTGTCTGGTGAGTAACTCACTCAAGAGATACGTTTTCTCTTACTTATTATAAAGAGAAAACGCATCTGCAAGCCTATGTATATGTCCATGGACGGCTGAAGATGGAGCTCCATCATCAGATCCTGGTTACGAATGAAAGACAAACTACTCGTCAATACGATTCAAATGTACCCAAACGCGATGAGGCTCTGTCGTATCATTTCGAAGTTCCTTTGGCCTGCTTCCAGCTCTATCATCAGATAAGCACCATGTCATAAAAATATTGCATTGTCTCGCGATTCACACATGTATACAAAATTTCAGCTCAATCGGTAGCCGGGAAGTAAATCAAATTTAATTTGCAAGATTTGATTTGATGATTTAACATTAAAATATTGTAAAAATGTTCATAAAATGAAAAGTAATTGGCCAAACTATGGTAGATTTTTATGGGACCAAATGACAACTATTCTGCGTAAAACTAAAGAAGAATCACGTAAATCGGATCATAAATCTCAACGTAATCGGTGTACATACATCGAAAAAAAATATACCAATCGAATTGAGGAACTCCTCCTTTTGAAGTCTATATTGATAAAATCTATATTGTGGCAAAAAATATATAAAAACATTATGTTTAACAATTTTAATTAGTGGTCCACCTAGGCCCTGGACCCAGCCCAGGGGGGGCGGGTCATGACCACCCCCCTTGATCCGTCTTTGCTTCAGCTCCGTTTTTGACGAATCACAGTATTAGTATGTAAAAATTATGTAACTCTCCTCCTCCCTGTCCTCTATAATATTCTCGGTAAAAATATATTAAAACGCAACAATGGTTCAAAAATGTTTCTACACATTCTTGTTACTATATTCAAAGCCGCAGTCTTTCTTTGAGTCTTTTTTTTATCGTTGACCAGGAATTATTCTTTTTTCCTTCATGGAGGTCGAAGTGGGAATAGAGTGTACAGTATTGGTAGTAGCGCTAGTGCTTATCCCTGATAACCCATCTGAAATTACATCATTATAAACATCCTCATAATTCCTCCAGAGTCATTATACCCAGGTACCATCTAGAATAAAATATTTCAAACTTGTTATTTTCACTAAGAAAAAATCCGTCATTTTATTAATTTGACTTCAAAAACTCAATACACAGTTCTGCCAACATGTGATAAATATAGGGAGCGGGCGATCATACTCATATCAATAGTTAATTTTTTCTACGTGACTCACAGAACCGACACAGCGAATCCGACTAGGATAGATTATGTTAGGTTCAGGCGGAGCCTTTCAGTATATATGTCTTATCTATGGGCGGAGCTCCGGTTCAGACGGGAGCTCCGCGGTTATTTTTTTTATGACCACTGTCCACCCAGACCAGAAATATGAGCAGAATTGACATATTGACAACAAAAAATGACGGATTCAAGTGAAAATCACACTATTTCATCATTTATTTTTGTAGACTATAAGCGACCGGCGAATTCTGCTTTTTGATTAATTCATTAGTGATTTTTCTCTTTCGTTTAAAATTTATTTTAATTTCATTACGCGAACGTGAAAATTACTTACATTTACCAAGTTTTTTACATAAAAACCAAAAAAATACGCATTCATGCATTTGGCTACGCCACTCTTTCTAGGTTGCCTGATTTATTATGCAGAACCATTTGGCCTGCATAAGAAATCAGAAGCTACTAACAATTGTCTTGAGGTTTTTCATTTTGCGGATTTGGTGGCTCATCATTAAATTTAAGTTTTTAATTCAGTGTAGTCTATAGAGATATGTGTTTAAATCACGGTCTTGATAACAATGAATGAAAATATCATTAATTGCAAATTTAAGTGTTGCAATACTGCGTCCGAAAACATTAAGAAATATATGCCCATGTAATAAAAATATTTCGCCGAAAGTGTCAATATGGACTCACGACTATTTCTTTACGTTATTTGGTCTTATCTACTTTAACGATTTCTATATTTTAGATATTTTCAACCGCACTCGGAGAGGACAATTAGTGGTTACATGGCCTCATTACTTACATTACGTTTTCATAATTTGTACATGGAAATAAAACAAAGCCAATGCTTACTTCTACTTACTTTTTTTATAATAACTGCAAACACTCTTATACTATGTTTAACTTGACAGAACACTACATTTCTTTATGAAAAACTGTAATAAATATGAATAACTGCTTCCTCTTTATGGGCAAGACATTTAACATCATGCATATTTTTTAACGATTTAAGTTCTCCCTTCTTTTAGGACTAATATTGCCATATATATAAAACAATTTGTATTGCAACATTTAAATAACTATTCAATGTCAATTTAATTTCTATTCTTTAAGACTAATTTTACATGTGTAGACAAGTTTATTTATTTTAGCATGAATATGTTTTAACAAAGCATTTATTTATTGCTTCTTTCAATTGTGTGTTGCAAAATCATGCTACACAATTTATATTTGGTTTGTCAGATCCTAATTTATTTACAAATACTATTTTTTGAAGAACTTCTGTTACATCTCCATCAAGAAGGGTCATCTGCCTTCGACAGCGGGTTAGTTTTTCCTTCTAATGGGCTCAACCCATTAGAAGGTCATGCATCATTTCTTCGCGAGCTGGTCGCTTTGTGGTTGGGCGCCATATTGCCACAGCTCTATCGCTTTATTCGCGACAACCTCCTCACACTGTTCTGGTATCTGGAAGACAAAAGAATTACCACTTTTATTTCACAGAAGAAGATGGGTACAGCCAATGATAAGGATCATTAATAGTGGTGTATATTGAGTACAATTAGCCGATTGATTTCGCTAGTTTCTGTTTTTTTTTATTTGGGGGTTTGGCAAATCTTCGTAAGAACCCTACCCACTACATTTACAGCTTGGGCATTTGTGAACAGACTTTTAAGTTTTTTTCTCAAGCTCAAATATTACGGTTTATATAAATTATTTTGGTACTGGATTACATTAAGGAATAAATTCAGAATGTAATGCAAAATATATATTGAGTGGGATGTTAGTTCTATTGTAGTAGGGCCACATAACAGTCTTCGTGCTGTTGCCCAAATGGGCAGGTCCGCCCGTGTAAATACCACAACCTCACAGAAGGCAGGCTTGAAGTGGAAGTGTTGTCCTTCTGCATTTCATCTGGTGAGTGAGGTAGCCGGGGCCCACTTTATTGAAATGTGTCATACGACTGGAACCAAACGGGTGTTGCAAATGTCAATGGGCGTCGGTTATCACTTATCACTTAACATCACGTTAACCGTCAGCTTGCTTGCTATATTCTCATATGAAAAAATTTCGTCTGTAAAGTTATTCTAATTTTAACCTTAAAAACGATTACTAGCATGTACCTCTAGAACGCATTTAAGCACCTCATCACCGTTCGCCGCCTTCAATATGCTGCGGCGTAGAGTAATCACCAGCATCACTGCAACAAACGACAGGATCTTGGGGGCACCGCTGCACACCTTGTCCCAGATCCTGAAAGGTTTTTTAACAAATTAAAAAAAAGAAGCAGTTTAGTCTCTATTATTTCGAAAAACGTAGTTTTTTTGAGTATTTGCAGGTTGTTAAATCCTATGTGGCAGGTGGAAAGTCAAGTAAGCAAAAGTTAGTAGGGATCAACAAAAATGTGAATATTGCAATCATGGTGCATCTCATTGGGTTTAAATTCACCAATCAGAATCCATGTTTTTTTTTGTATTCTGTACACAAACTGACTAGCATCATATTTTGTACGTACTGGAATATTCATTTGGGACCTATAATCGTCGATTTCATATTCCCTGTTGCGAGAAGGTTCTAGCTTGAAATAAATGTAATACTTACTTAGGAAGTGATGTGTCATCAAGCACTCCAGCAAAGCAGCAATTGAACCATTTCGTTAGTGGCAACACATCTAATGCATTAATTTCCACAAGATGGCTGTAAATAAAGTTTTCTGATTAATATCATTTTTGGAGGTTCTTGAAAATGGTCAATATGACTTACCTTTTTGATAGACAGTCTCTATACTAAGAGACAACTATTTGTTTGATCAACAGATAATTGTTTCATGTCTGGGTGTTTGTCCATGTGAAATTTACGTATGTACAACATCCTTGCAAGACAGGATAACATTATCATTAGTTTTTAAAAAAAATTATTTAGAAATGGAAGAATGGGTCAGAAACACTAAAGATACATTGATGAAATAATAACTTACCAATACTCTTAATTTTAATATGTTTACAATATCCAGTTAAGAATGCACAAAGTGATTAGAAAACAAAAATAAAACTAAAAGTTTTTATGGGTCTGTTTGCGATTAAAATAAAATACACATCTGCATTTCTGATGATCTGGGTGTTTATTATGTGCAATTGGTTTTGTGCAAACAATTATGATAATCTACTGTCATAGCCCTGCTGTTTATAGAATCAAATATTTAATGCATAACTAGGTTAGTAAGGAAATTCACTTACTTGAAAAGCTCAACATCTTCCTTTTCAAGCATGCTCTGAAAGCCCTCTTTTAATTTCAGTACGTCTTTCTGCATGCCCCTTACAATTTCCGTCAGGCTCTTACATATCCAGTAGACATCAACCTCATTATCATACAGCTCAACCAGAGTTTTCGCTATCGGAATGAAAGTATCTGCAGACTGAAATAAACAGTTTCTGATAATAACTCGGGAATCAAATCAGTTCAGGGTGATAATTATTTTATCCATGCAGCAGAGAAATGCTACTGTCTGTATCTTGATTGTCATCAGTTTCCCACCCAGGTGGAGCTATCATGTGTGTTAATCAGTTAAGTATTTTATGGCCTACAGCATAACTGACTTCATTTCGTGCACGGGAACAAAGTCCTAGATCCAGAACAATTATCTGTAGTATACACTAATACTTGTTCTGTTTTGGAATCAACTCACAGCCCGCTAAGCCAGTGGTTAAGCAATTGTGCTACCAAGTCATCAATGAAGCTGTAAAACAGAAATTTATAACTTGCTTGATTTTGTTAATTTGTTTTTGCTTACATTAAAATTGGTTTCGGGAAACAAAGGCGGTTTTCTCTCCTCATTCTCTAACAGCCACATTGCAAGCAGGATTTGTGTCCTTGGCGCACTCATGTCAACAAGTTCCAGCATGTCCACTGCATACAGTAAATCACCATATTGTTTTTTTCTCTGTTCCATTACAAACTTATGTGACTCCGCATAAACGGGTAGAATATCTGGCGAAAAAATTTGTTTTTTTTTTTACAAAAATTTACTTAAGAATTGCTAAATAAGACTATTTTACCGTTGCGACAATACAAGAAATCATTATAAATTTTTCTAGTGTGAAATACTCTATTAGTAGCATGGAATTGTTATATTAATTTATATAATTTATATCGTACCTAATAATACTTTCCACACCAAGTTCCTATAAGCAGCTGGCACCATAAAACGTAGGCAAAATTGTTTTAACTTTACCCTATCCCATGGCTTTTCCTTCATAAGTATTTCAAGGGATTTCTTTTCCTCTACACCACGGCAGCCCACTTTTTCATAGTATGAGGAGCGAAAATTTCTTTCATCCGCCATTATTATAACTTTTTCGGGAATAAGAAATTTTTATTTTTTACCGTTCGGCATTCCTTTTCAATTGATTGATTGCAATAAAAATTAATCGAAACTTTGTTGACAATTGTTGACATAAATCAAATGATGTCCAAAGAGCATGTAATAGAATGATGATGTCAAATGTAATGTGACCAAATAAAACAACCAAATAAAATTAACTATTTCATTAAAAATGGTCAACAAAAAATTAACAATAATTATAAGAATACATAAAATAATAAGTTTTATTGTAAACGGAGGACAATTTTAGCATTTTGGTATTTTATATGCTTAATTAATGACTTTAATATATTTTAAGGACACGCAATAATCAGTTTTAACAAAGGCATAACACATTCAATATTATAGTTTAGGGCAGAAAGGGTTGACTGGTAGAGAATGGCATTAAGTCCACCCATTGTAGCCCTTAGCTTAAGGTGAAGCAATGAATCTTAAATAAATACATACAAGACGCATAAGCCTTGGCCTGACGTCCACCAACTGCCAGCCAGCACAGCACTATTAAATTATATTTTTTGTTTAAAATAAGTACTTTTGTGTAGTTTTTTTTTTCAAAAATGTGAATAAAATTTAACTCCTAAAACATTTTTTCTTGTACATTTTTTTTTCCTAAATTTAGGAAGAAAATTGGCATCCCTCGCAGTCGGACGTCGGTATGAACGATTAACTTGACGAGTAATTTTTTTTTCACATTCCGTTCGAGAATAAACTCAAAAATAATATGTATTAAATATTCATTTAATTGTAATATATAAATAATACGAAAGACAATGATTACGGTTTATAAGAATAACCAATAAAATAGTTCTATTTTTGATTTATTTATATGAAATATAATGTAATATCTGAAGACTTAAACATTTTATGATATCCAATATTTAAAACTGTATTTATTTATACAGTTAATTATTACAAATGTATATCATTATATACTTTTATTATATCTGAAGTAATATACTCTTTCCAGTTTATTTGAATTTCGATCAAATAAAAATATCAACATATACTGTTACCATAGTAATAGATAATCAGATTTATAGTTTTTATTCATATCGTGTGTTAAGCTATTGATTTGGTGAAAAAGCAATGGATAGAACAGAGACTACAATAAACTTAGAAGAAAAACGCACGGAACTAAGAAGATTTTTTAAAAACTCTAAATTTCCTCAGGATATGATAGAGAAGATTATTGAAAACGAATTAAAACCGTTGGAAAAGAGTAAGAATGAAAGTTCTCCTTACATTTCCGCTTCTGCTACTGGAGAAGTAAAGTCTGAATATGAAGTTATGACTGGTCAACCGTTTACTGAAATTGAGGAAAGTAATCTGCCCTTTACATCGGAGGAGATAAAGATAATGGTAGAGAAAAATAGGCATATTATTAAGGAAAAATCGCAACAAATTCAAATTGCCAGGGCTGGGGGTCACGGTAAAGATATTAGTGTGCCATTAGATAAAATAAACTTGCCGTGCTATAGCAACATGTTGGATGAAATCAATTCAGCGGACGGTGATGCCAATAAAATTAAAGATATCAAGTATAAAAATATGCTAGCATTAATAAACTGTGCATCAGAATACGAGGCTACTCTTGATTGTCCGAATGTGGATTATAGTTTTAAAGAAACAGACAAAGAAGATTCAAATAGTGACGATAGTGATTTTGAAGCTATAGATAAAGTTGTAGCAAAATATACTAACAAATCTTACGAAACAAGATTTCAAGAAACAAAAAATATGTTGCTTGAATTAGCTAATGAACATGACAAGATAGAATCCAGTGATGACACCCCGGTAAATAATAAAATAATATATGATAATAATATTTTAAAAGAATCTTCTTCCTATCTCACTACGAAAGAAAATGAGCGGAATATATTAAATGAGATTAAAAAAGATTATTCCATAAATGCTACAATGAATATCCCCTTAGTATGCAACCCAGTTAATCTTCCTTCTAATGTTAAAACTAAAAAACAATCTGAAAATAAAAGATTTGAAGAAAAAGATGAAGAGTTGAATTTTGAAGAAGTTTTTCCTAAAAGTTTTGAAGCTAAGCTTATCGATACCACTAAAGCATTGAACGAGATAGATACAATCTTAGACAGCAGGCAAAATAAAATAAATACATCAAATTCCGATACTACGGATAAATGTCACCAAAATGAATGTTGCACAAGTTTAGATTGTTCAACAACTTCACCGCGCTTTGAGAGAAAAGAGGAGAAACTAGAAAGATTGGATGAAAATTGTGGAAATGACTCCAACAATCATGGTCGCAATCAAACATATGATGAAAGAATGGAACAAACATTACATAACGCTTTAGAAACATTATTTGACATTGGAGAAAATGAAAACCGCGCAAATAAAAACCTGGAATTTAGAGAAATGAAAAATATTGCACGAAATATAGTAGAAGAAGCGGATAATCTGAGTACATTAATACGATCGGATATTACTAATAAGTTAAATAGCATGAATGAATTGTTAAATGATGTCAATAAAGCATTAGAGAATTCTCGAAAGTCAAATGTTCTCTATCAGAACCTTTTGAAAGATAAGAATAGTGTTACTCCTGTCAAAATATCTGAAGAGATTAAGGTGCCCATGGAAAAGGCTGCCCCCAACAATGTCACTACCCTATCAAGTAATTCTGTGACTTTTTCACAGATAGATGATATACATGATGCCATCGGAAAACTTAATATGGAAATAAACTGTCACGAAGATAGAATCAATAAAAGTGAAATAGCATATGAATCGAGAAACAAGGAGTGTAACGAATTTATGAAAGAGGTTGATCAAATACTTGAAAAGTCACACAAAATTCTTCATCCTTTGGAATATTCTAATGTTAAAACATTAAATGAGCATGTCAATAATATATGCATTGAAAATAATATAGTAAGAACACCTGTTGCAAATAACAATGCTGTAGCAATAGAAAGCAAAGCGTTATGTGAGGAAGAAAAACAAAAAATAGAACGAAATAATCGTATAGACGGTCTTCTCTATGATATAAAAGATAAAATGAATCATAATGAGGAAGTCTTACGTTTAGCTGATAAATTACTCAAAAGGGGAAAGTCTAGTAATAAAGTATTGGTTGAAAACATGGACTCCATAAATCGCAATGAAGATGATTCCAAAGCTAAAGGGGATTACATAAATAAAGAGGATGATTCATGTAATCAGGAAAATGATGAAAATAATTGTAAGGTCACGGAGTTGAAGATCAATGCTGAAGGTACTAGTAATAGTTGAAAAATAATTTCATTATGACTAGTTATTTCGTGTGTAGATGTAGTTTAATGATGTTTATAATTTTTTTAGAAAACATTAAGCAATATGAACTAAAGAAAAAAGAAGAGATGGAGGAAAGACGACAGAAGCAAAAAGAGTTCCAACAAAAACTATACAAGGAAATGGAGGAGAGTAATAAAGGACCACGTATGACTAAAGAATTTATAAGGAATCATTGTAAGCAGCACAAACTGTACTGCACTCCACACCTTAACGACATATTGTATTTACACTTTAAGGTAAGTTATTTTGAATTTCTCATATTTCAAGTCTTTTAAATGGCAAACAAGATAAATTTACTGATAAACGAAAATCACCCACTAATGTACGACTACATTACTTATTTATATATTATAAACGTTTATTTACTTCACAATGTTAGGGCCACGCAACAGGCTTTAATATTGCACGATGGGCAGGTCCATCCGAGGATGTACCACGATCTCACACAAGACCGACCTGAAGTGGAAGTGTTTCACTTCTGCGTTTGGTCTGGTTAGTGAGGTAGCCGTAATTCGCAGTAGAGTCACGTGGTGGACTATGCCCTAATACCCTATGTACAGAGGAAGCTTTTGCCCAGTTATTTAAGTAATTAAAGCTTACTTTAATTACGAAAGCTGCCTTTTTGAGTTGATTTGCACCGTTTTCAATGTAGTAGGTTAACGGAAATAATTTTCAAACTTTGAAGGGATTCTCCAAAATTGAAAACTTGGAAGAATACACGGGCCTTAAGTGTATATTCTTGGAAAATAACGGTATACAAAGAATCGAAGGCCTGGACAAACAAGCGGAATTGAAATGTCTCTATCTCCACTACAATGTTGTGAGGAAGATCGAGAACCTCGACGGATGCCCAAAGCTGGATACATTGAATTTGGATCACAATTTTGTAACGAAAATCGAGAATCTTGATGTTGTTCCCGATTTGCATACGTTGAATATTTCGCATAACATGCTCTCTTCAGTGGGTAATAAAGTTTTCTTTATTTTATACGAACCGATTCAACGTTTTAACTGCGGCAGGCAGACAGACAGATGGACGGACAGACAGACAGACAGATAGACAGCGGAGTCTTAGTAATAGGGTCCCGTTTTACCCTTTGTGTATGGAACCCTAATTGATGCGCTTTCACTACCTACTGTAAATCTAAAGGCTTCATAGGGCATAGAAACTTAGCCTTTCGAAGAGTTTACTAGTAGATTTAACTGAAGCGGAGTTAGGCATGTGGATATACGTGTATTAACGTAACGAAATGCAGGGATTGAGGGCTGTCGCTACAGGTCCGGCAAGCGGACCGAGACAACGACGTCGACTGCGTTATTCGTTGACGTAGAGAGACGGGATGCCGAAAGTGAAGAAAAGTATCGATATATATCGATATTTTCTTTTTAGGCCTCGTTGTTCAAAAAAAAAAGTATTCCACGTATTAAATATTTGAATGTACGGACTCTGTCGCGGATTCGAATTCGAAAAAAAAAATTATTTTTGATACGATTTCAATATTGTATTTTATATCGATATGTTTAATAAAAAATATCGATATTTTTTCGGCATCCCTTCGGTAAGAACTACTCGGGATGCAGGGATAGGCCGGGGCGACGATTATTCTCATCTTGCAACTTTATCAGCTGGCGGTTTACCTGATGTTAAGTGA